AGCTTTTTCGAACTTTGTTGACGCCGGGCGCATAGTGTTTCACAAACACATCTTGTTACCCCTTGACGTTGATGTTTTACATAATTTTCAAAATATTTAACTCTCCTAAAAGATGATTAGACTTCTGAGTAACATTAAGGAAGACTTCAAGGAAGACAGGGCTTTTTGCACAAAAAACGTCATTTTTCGACCCACATTTGACCCCCCGGGGCAAAATCTAAATTCCAAAACCTTACTGCACATCTACATGACCCCACCAACCATCTCCCAAAAGATGATTAGGCTGCTGAGTAAAATGTAAGAGGAGTTCAGGGAAAACAGGGCTCTTTGTATGAAAAACGTTATTTTTCGACCCCCATTTGATCCCCTGGGGCAAAATCTTAATTCCGAAACCTTACTGCACATGTACATGACACCATCAACCATCTCCCAAAAGGTGATTAAGCTGCTGAGTAAAATGAAAGAGGAGTTCAGAGAAGACAGGTCTTTTAGCATAAAAAACATCATTTTTCGACCCCCATTTGACCCCCCGGGGCAAAATCTAAATTCCAAAACCTTACTGCACATCTACATGACCCCACCAACCATCTCCTAAAAGATGATAGGCTGCTGAGTAAAATGTAAGAGAAGTTCAGGGAAAACAGGGCTTTTTGTATAAAAAACTTTATTTTTCGACCCCCATTTGACCCCCTGGGGCAAAATCTAAATTCCAAAACCTTACTGCACATCTACATGACACCACTAATCATCCCCCAAAAGATGATTAGGCTGCTAAGTAAAATGTAAGAGGAGTTCAGGGAAGATGGGGTCTTTTACATAAAAAACGTCATTTTTCGACCCCCATTTGACCCCCCGGGGTAAAATTAAAATTCGAAACCTTACTGCACATCTACATGACACCACCAACCATCCCCCAAAAGGTGATTTGGCTGCTGAGTAAAATGTAAGAGGAGTTCAGGGAAGACGGGACTTTTTGCACAAAAAACGTCATTTTTCGACCTCCATTTGACCCCCCGGGGCAAAATCAAAATTCCGAAACCTTACTGCACATCTACATGACACCACTAATCATCCCACAAAAGATGATTAGACTGCTAAGTAAAATGTAAGAGGAGTTCAGGGAAGATGGGGCTTTTTGCATAAAAAACGTCATTTTTCGACCCCCATTTGACCCCCCGGGGAAAAATCAAAATTCCGAAACCTTACTGCACATCAACATAACACCACCAATCATCCCTCAAAAGGTTATTAGGCTGCTGAGTAAAATGTAGAAGGAGTTCAGGGAAGACGGGACTTTTTGCACAAAAAACGTCATTTTTCGACCCCCATTTGACCCCCCGGGGCAAAATCAAAATTCCGAAACCTTACTGCACATCTACATGACACCACTAATCATCCCACAAAAGATGATTAAGCTACTGTGTAAAATGTAGGAGGAGTTCAGGGAAGAAAAGTGTGACAGACGGACGGACGGACGGACATGAGTAACAACAATATACCCGAACTTTCTTTAGAAAGTGCGGGTATAACGAGTTCAGGGAAGAAGGGGCTTTTTGTATAAAAAATTTCATTTTTCGTCCCCCATTTGATCCCCCGGGGCAAAATCAAAATTCCGAAACCTTACTGCACATCTAAATGACACCCCCAACCATCTCCCAAAGGATGATTAAGCTACTGTGAAAAATGTAGGAGGAGTTCAGGGAAGAAGGGGCTTTTTGTATAAAAAACGTCATTTTTCGACCCCCATTTGATCCCCTGGGGCAAAATCAAAATTCCGAAACCTTACTGCACATCTACATGACACCCCCAACCATCTCCCAAAGGATGATTAAGCTACTGTGAAAAATGTAGGAGGAGTTCAGGGAAGAAAAGTGTGACAGACGGACGGACGGACATGAGTAACAACAATATACCCGAACTTTCTTTCGAAAGTGCGGGTATAAATAGGCACAATTTATGTTCATCATGAAAAAGTTGTTCGGACAAGTTTTTTTTACATGTGCAAGAGAACCATTTGCGGTAAATACCAAGATCAGTTCTTCTAAATGCGTGCATAAATCCCGCTAGGAAATTAAACGTTTTTATGTACGGGGAGGGGAGTGGGGGGGGGGGGGTGCAAACAGTGAATTGAAAAGTTTCTGTGAAAATTTACACAATAACAAAAATAATTTACTTCTAAATTCTATACCTATTTTCCTTTCTGACCGGCAAGTTTCAACGTGAATCAGTTCATTTGTACATAAAATTGTATATAAGTATTTCTTATTTCTATTAATATTATAATTTCATTTTCCTTGGTTTATGATTACATTGTACTTTATTTTACGCTACATTTGTTTTTAAAACTGGTGACTTATTATATATTTGATACACCTTCTATCAACCGCTTTGGATATTGATCAGTGCATTTTATGCATTACATGTAGAAAAGTCCAGGGACAATTAAAATCGTTTACTGATACTTTTCTTTACCATGTAACAAATTTGCCCGAGTTGCCACGAGCAGAAAACCCCTTCTCATTTAAGATTTGCAAAAAAAAAATCTTATTTTATATTAAAGTTCTTGAATAGGTAAATTTGACATACACAAGAACATGCATATTTTTAAATCATATTTATTATGAACACATGTCGTCTTCGTTAGGAATCTACTAAAAGTAGAGTAGCTTTCGGATTGGAAACCCTTGGCTAGCGAAGATGACATATATGTAGACTCAACCCAGGTTCAAACTTTTACGGAAAATGATTGTTTACCAACTGTATTGTTCTTTATATAAGCATTAAAAAAAGTTCCCACTATTTCAGGAAAATATTGTTGGCGAGGATTTATTGCAAACAAATAATAGAACTGCAGATAACTTGGGCAATACTAAACCTGAATTCTACATTATCCAAAATATGTAATTCTTCATCATTGCCCAAAGTTAAAATTTCGTTTATAGTTGTGATTCTATATCCGATGTTTTATTATTGTGTTCCCTTTTCTGTCAAGGAAAAGTTTAATCCATTCCTGCACAAGCCTTGGAATGGAAAGGGGGGACAAGGGGGTTTAGCCCCCCCCCCCCCCCCCAAATGCAAATACAGACATAATATAGACATGGGAAATTATTGAAGTTTACCTTTTATGTTTGTTTACCCCCCCCCCTTTCAATTTACTTCCGATCCCTGTGTCCTGTATTCATGCTTGAACATTGTGTACGAGAGAGAGAGAGAGAGAGAGAGAGAGAGAGAGAGAGAGAGAGAGAGAGAGAGAGAGAAAGAGAGAGAGAGAAAAAAATTTTCCCAGATAATAACTGATCCCCGAACGGTCAACGAGGTATGAAGAGATCGTTACTATTTTTAGAAAACTGGACAGGCCGGTTTCACAGATAACTGTTGTTTTCATATCGTAGGGCGTAAACGGGATGTGTTGATGTAGGCGCTGAAAGAAAACTTGGGAAAGAATTTCAATACTTTTACGTACTTTCATAACTCTTGTTTTTACTTATAGTATTATCCATGATCAAGCTTGTACTGTCTGGCGTCTGGTAAGCATTGTAATACGTTGTTTTATAAATGTATTTTTTCATAATCAAAAATTCACGTGCTTGTAAAATTGCAACATTTTTTTTAATGAATTTATCATTTATTATTATTAGTTTTAAAGCATTCAAAAAATTGTATTGTATTAGTTTCTGAAACTTAGCGGAAGACAGTACAAGCTAGACTTATATTTTGGGGGGTTTAGTGTACACATTAGGCCTTCTGGAAGCGTGTGCAATAGCCCGTGACCGCGATTGATCACATATATTTGGAATTGTAACTATCGCAGAGTAGAGAAATATGGCGGACACCGCTTTGCTCGTTGCGTATAATAGGTTTAAGACTTTGCACGATAGCTTTAATTTGACTAGGTGATCACTAGATCAAAGAAATGCAAACATATGTTTGAAACCAATACATCTAGAAGCTTTCCCGATGTGCCAACATTCATAATTAATGAATTATAGCATAGGGTTACGCTAAAAATTGGACAGACTGTCTGCAGTAAAGAGCCACAGCTGCCTTAGCTGTTTCTATTTATAGATACATGTACATGTACCTTTTCAATTCAAGATCAAACTACATGTATGTAAATATTTGTGGACCAACTTTATATTTTCATAGTTGCAAGTTTGTTACATGACAATAATGTTACTCTTATTCTAAACAAGAGTTTTAAAATTTTTTAGAATAAAACAAGCTAGCAGCTATGACTTTGGGTCATTAAAAATAGTTTAGGACTGTTTTTTACCGAGATACTTTTAAAGTGTAATGTTGTATTATATATCTCTTACATTTTTTAAACATGTATTGTAAAAAAAAAATTTTAAAAAACAGGAAAAATGCACAGAGAGAAAAAAAAATAAAAGCATAGACAAGAAACACACTGTGAGCCTCGAACTCACAATCATTATGTCTACAATCCTGCAATCATACCACTACGCCACGAAGTCATTGTAATTCATTGGATAAATTTAAGACAGGTTGTTGAATCTTAAAATATAATTCTGAGAAGGAAAATTAAATACATATTTTCAACATTTTCAATACGAAGACCACCTTTAATCAAAATATCTAAATGTAATGAAGTGCAGTCATATCCAAATATAATTATTTAGAAGTTGTTTTTCTGAGGGGAATTCCTCGGTATTTACAATATTCTCCATATAAACTGAACGATTTTTATATTCATCATATGAGGGAACTATTAATATTTAAATATTATTTTTGTGTGATTTGCTTTATTAAGGTATGTATAAACTAACATTGTATGACAAAAGTATGGTTAATAGAGTAGGCGAAAGTGATTATCAAATGCGCTATGGCTCTTTTTTAAGTGTCAATTTTATATATTATAATACATGTTTTAGCCATGAGAAATAGTGATAAACGTAAAATATTCGTCCCCATAATTGTACAAAGTTGGGGGGGGGGGGTGGGGGGTTCATAGCACAAGCCTCCATCCCCAAATGTGTATCTGACTGCCGAGATCTTTAAATGGTTTCTGTCTCGTTTCAATCAAAACAAGCATATTTTTTTCTATCTGTATGACTCATTGACACATCTGTTTTACATTTGAGGGTTTTACTATAAAAAGACATTAATAGTAACCTAACAACAAAACTTTATGATAAATGTGACGACTTCAGTCGTCAACTTTCCTAACTTATGGTAATAGTATACCCTTACAACCGTATCACCTTCAAATGATGTTTCCATCTCTTAGGTGATTTGATCACAAGACCATGGCGCACAAACAATTTCTATAAAGAGATAAACAATTGACAAACAAGTTGATGAAACAAAAAATATTAAAAGTCTCCCTTAAAGTCATAATTTCGCAAGTTTTATGGTCGATAGAATGACCTTGTCATTAAGTAAAATGCAGAAGGACAATTTATGTACTAATTGTTGGGCCATTATTTACACAATGATGTGTCTACGGATGCGCTGCGTGCTCACTGCACCAAGGATATGTTTAGAGGTCCGTGTTTGCTCTGCTCCTGGTTTGTATTGTTTAAATGTACCTCTGAGCTTGAATACTTGTTTGTTATCTCCATGTTTCATGGAATAAACTTGGATCCTTTTACCAAAGGATTATGTGCCAAGTTTGTTTAAAATGGCCGAGTTATTCTGAAGAAAGGAGCAAATTAATTAACAGGAAAGGTTACTAGAGCCTTCGGATCAGATGAGCTAAAACGAGCTTAGGTGTAAAACGTTAAAGAACCCTCCTTACTACTCTGTATCCCAGAATACAAAGTAAGTCTAAATTTTAAGCCCATTACTACTTGGTCGACGTCCCTTTGTGAGTAAAAATTGGAGATTTTCAATGAAATAAGTAACCTGGAGTTTCAAAAATATATCTGTTGAATCGTTATATTAAAATAACATGTTTCTTTTTAAAAAGGCTCAAGCTTTCATTGAGCCATTCGAGATTTTACCAAGAGACTAGTTCTCAGATTTGTTTAGAATAACAATGCCTTTATTGAGTATGTAACAATGGATATGTAACATCGATAATATGTCATGTATGTTTAAACATATTGCAGGTAACATGCCAAGATATAAACAATCTATTTCGTGACTTATACCTGATATATGACAGTAATAATAAAAGTAATATCTATTGTATAAGCTATCAGATGCTGCTAATCAAAAATTGACTACAACTTGCGTGAAACTAATTCACAATACGAAGTTTTACGTAGAAAGTGCGGTAGTTTGTTAGTTCCCCAAACGTAAAATTAATTTTACAGATAAATTGATTGCGATATGTTTCAATTATGATTGTATGTCTTTCAAAAATTTCAGACAGATGTTATAAGTAAAATAAAGATAATATTAAATTACAAGGATCTTTAACAGCAGAATTTTTTTCTTGTAATAGAATTATAAATTGCAAATTCGACAGGCCGGATTTTTGGGGATACCTCCTGGCCTACTTCGTCCACGACCACTTGGTTTAACCCACACAAAGCGACCAGTCTTATATTTACCGGTAGTAACTTCATTTACGTCTATTGTTTCTGTATACAACACCTCCACCCTAACCCCCACTGTAACGAAAACTTCATCCACACCATTTATTGTCTGGATTTTCAGAAATGGATTATTCTTCATATCTAGCTGCGGTAAATTGTGGTCTCGACAGAAATTATCTTGCTTAGAGTCGGTTTTTGTGAGGACCAGCGTTGCAAAGTGATTTTTCGTATGACAATAAAAATCAGCAAAATAAAGACGCACGGGTTTTCGGAAAATGGCCGTTGATGAGATATAGAGTCTGCGATTGCCAAGATAGGAGAACCATGGTGGCTTTCCGTTTTTGGGATACAGTGCGCAACCAAAAAATAGACCAGCAATGTTTCCATTTAGGGCGGATCTTTGATCTCCATTACAATCTTTGGTGTAAGGAACCATTTGTCCATCCTTTTCATTCAAGATGTTCTCCCAGTAATCTAATGGTTTATCTCGCCACATATACCTGAGTCGTAAAAACTTATCAGAGTCTGATGCCTTTATAAAATTAACACACTTGTCCTGCAGTTTTTTCAACTCATAGGATGTCAAATCTAAAAAGAAATAATAATCATTGAGTAAATGTCATCCTTAGTATCAGCATTATAAAAAAATCATCGTTAGCTAAGTGCCAGTTTTCAAAATAAATATTAAAAAAAAAATTGTTTAATGAATGTTAATAAACTGTCAATCTTCATATTTAACAATTTCCTAAAATGGCAGCTTTGTAAAAGAAAATAGCGATCATAAAATAATTCACAATCTTTGAAAATATTTTCCTAAAAATAGTTGTTTGTTCAAAAGAATTTGATATTTTTAGTTATAATTTATGATATACCCCCGGTATTCATTGCTAAACTGAGTACGTGTTAAGCTTATAGAAAAAAAAATAAAAAATTATTGCCTGTAACAAAAACATTTAGAATATGATAAAACTTTCTTACAATGCTATAATCAGAATGTGGGATTGGCATTTTTATTTTATTTCAGAAGTATTGAAATGTTTCGTCTCCTAGTCTAGTCCTTTTTGAAAGGTCATTTACTAGTTATATTCTTAATTTGATGTCTTGCTAAAGGTAAAAGATCTAAACGTTAAGATAGGGTAGATAGAGAATGATCAGTTCTTGAAAAAACGTCTTTTTATGGGCGAGGGGAGGGGCAATTAAACTTTCATGGAACATTTTTCGGTAGTAAATATTACGGAGTGGGGAGACCCCTCCGATACCATGTGCTGTACAACAGCCTATTTTTAAAACTGCATGTCTTGCATGCAAAAGATACAACACTGCCGAGTTAGATCTATAATGTCAGCAATGTATCGATACCTATATATTATGAAATATTTTGAAGGGATCAGTGATGGTCGTTTTTTTATGGCAGAGAGAGAGAGAGAGAGAGAGAGAGAGAGAGAGAGAGAGAGAGAGAGAGAGAGAGAGAGAGCGATCCCTTAGTATCGCCGAGTTCTGCAGGAGACACAAGTATAGTTACGTCTAAACATAAACAAAATTTTAATTTTAAAAAAAGAATTCAAACGTAAATCTGAAAGATACCTTTAAATTTTATTAGAATTCAAACTTGACAAACTATCTTTATGAAAATGTTTTACTGTACGAAATGTAATAACCGGATTATATCATTTTAAACATATCTATTACATAACATAGCCTTGAAAATTAAAGAGTTCATTGATTTGTAAACGATATTTCCGAGAAAATAAAAGAAAAGTATATACAATTAAGAATTTGGTAAAAATTTACAAGAAGGACATTTTCGGAAAACATTCGGAGAGTTTATGGAGAAGATTAGCCTGGAATGACACCAAACCAGTTTAGTAGTTTTGGTGAGTACATCATTATCTTATAAAGCTTACATTTCATGGGCATAGAAATCAGGAGGGGTGGTGAGGGGGCGGTGGTTAAAATTTTCATTCGAAATTTTGGTAGATGATAGTGCCCCAAACTGAAAGTATATGGTTGTGCCAACCCCCCCCCCCCTCCTCTCAAACTGAATGATTCCTGCGGCATTGTATTTAAAAAAATGATTTTCAGTATTATTGGCAGACGGATGGAATATACAGTCTGATATACATTTAGATAAATCTAAATTCATATTCTCATTGTCTGGTTGATTTATAACGTAAGAGGAGGCGATTGTCTGTTCAATATAAACTGTATCGAGAGAGAGAGACAGAGAGAGAGAGAGAGAGAGAGATGCAAAAAGCAAGAAACAACATTGTCGTAACGTAAAACAAATAATGAGGAAAAGCTTTGTTTTCTAAGGGTCTACAACGAATAGAATTTGTCATTAATTATGTGAAGATAAATTGTTTTTCTTAGCATTTGAAAATAACTTGTTTGATAACAGGAATATAGTCTCTGCACACAGGCACCTGACTCTATTTATTATACCCCCCGCTTGAAAAGTGGGGGTATATAGTAATCGGTATTTCCGTCCGTCCGTCCTTCCGTCTGTCCGTCCGTCCGTCTGTTACGCTTTGGGGTACCCATCTCTTATCCGCAACTTCTCTCATACCACTGAAGGAAATTTAATGAAACTTTCACAGAATCTTTATTACATATTGCTATTGTGCACCTCCTATTTTACTTTTTGATCCGACACATATTTTGGGTTTCCCGGCCACAGGAAAACATGGACTTTTTCACCAGTTATAACCATATGGGAGGCGGGGGGTATCATTTAGTGAGCTCATCGCTCACAGTACCTCTAGTTTTTCTGTTAATAAAAAAAATATACCCCCTACTTATTGTTCGGTAGGGTGTATATTTCTAAAGTCTTTTATTTAAAGAAAAATAAGTACCCGTGTCTCTGCACTATGTCAATATATACTGCATATTGTATATTATTGCAAAGTGACCTTAATGACTCATCATCAAAATTTTCTTTATGCTTGATTTCATTCGAATCAAGTTAGGCCTAAATAAATACTAGTATACTAACTGTATCTGTATGTTTTCTTATCATCCTGATTTCATGTCATTCACCAAAGGTCACTGCTTAAGGAGCCATGGGTATTTAGCGATCACCAGTGATTTTATTGAGTGTATGGGGTATTCCAAAAGCTATAATTTATCAAAAAAACAAAAGAATTTTTCTAAAAATCTTTTATTAATCTTTTTCAAAGAGAAGGAAATACCCACTTCACATTACGACTTAATATGCAAGTATAGACCTACAGCTGTACATGTATATGACTACGCCAAAAAAAAAATCCTGTTTTTCCATGAAAAATTTGGAACAGAAAAAAATCACCTAATGGAATTATTAAGGAAGGGGAAAAAATGTTGTTGCTTTTGAAAAGAGAATGTAGTCTATAGGGTTTGGTCATGTCATTAAAAAAAACGGATAAGAAAAAAAAGAAAGGAAAGTGTATTTGAAAAGAACCAAACACGGATCATTGCTTACTTATAATTAAATACATCTACTGTTTTAAATAGCAATTTTTGAAAAATTATTGAACAGTATTTCTCTTCAAAACTTGCATTTTCCAGAAACTGCATAACTTAAGTATTACAAATATATGCATATCTATTGAAGCAAAGCGTTGTGAAGAAAACCAGCAAATTCAAGGAATTGTGGTCCCCCGCTTTCGGTGTCTTTTTGGGTGAGATGTCATTTTTTATGACATATTGTGTGTAATATGGACACCTCATCATATATTAATTATTTAGAAACCATCACTGAACTCAAAGGTCAAGGTGAAAGGGTTAAAGGTCTTGGTATCCTATGAAAAGACTTTTCACAAGGATTACATATATGTAGAATGAAAGCCCTAGACCTTACCATTCAAAAGTTATGGTCAAGGTTAAAGTTTTTTCATTAGTACGAAAAATCACCAAGGTCAAGGTCAAAAGATCAAGGTTGTTGATATAAAATGAAAGGTCTTGCCACAAAGAATACATATGTAAAATATGAAAGTCCTAGTATCTACTGTTCGAAAGTTGTAGCCAAGGTCAAAGTTTTTGAAAAGTAGGTCAAACTCCAAGGTCAAAGGGTCAAAGTTCATCCAATGAAAGGTCTTCTCACAAGAATTACATATATGAAGTACAGTATGCAAGCCCTAGCCCTTACCGTTCAAAAGTTATGGTCAAGGTTAAAGTTTTTTTTCATAATTACGGAAATCTCAAAGGTCAAAAGGTCAAAGTCGTTAATATCTTATGAAAGGTCTTGTCACAAAGTATATATATGTGAAATATAAAAGTCATAGTATACATACCATTCAAAAGTTATGGCCAAAGTAAAAGTTAGGATTTTTTGTGCAAAAGTGGGTCTAACTCCAAAGTCAAGGTCAAATTTGGTGGTACCCAAAGAAAGGTCTTATCACAAGAAATCGCTTTCGCGAAAGCGGGGGACAATAAATATGTTGATGTAGCCGTGTCACAAACTTTTTGCAGTACACATTCACAAGCAAAATTGCGTTTCAAATCAATCATAATAGAATCGAGTTAAAAGCAGTGGTATCAATTGTTCACTTACATTTTTGGGAATCTGTCATTTTTTTCTCCCCTGAAAATCTTTTATTTCAAATTACATATAAATTAATGATATATGTTCTCAATTTAATCTCAAAAGAATTTGTTCCTTTTAATTTAATTTTAAAAATCTTACCTCATTCAACAGTAAACAGAAATAAACAGAAAGTAAAACTTCGTTAATTCGTTGAAATACTAATCAATATCATTAAAAATCCATCGTCTAAGACATGTAGTTGATGGCATAAACCTCCTTCCAAACAGGAAGATATGTTTCCATAAATACCTTAGGATTTCCCTCGATGTTATAAATAATTTATTTCTATTTTAGTTATCCAGAAATCTTTTTTTAAAATTGTCTTTTACGGCATCATAAAAGATGTAGATATTTAGCGTAATTTGGAAACTGCAATATTACAGAAAACATTTATTGAATGAAAAAGTGTGTTTTCACTTTGTGCTAGCATGCGTGTTGTTCCTAAAAAATTACAAAAACTTAATGCTTAAATACATTCAAAATATTCCACAGACCATTTAATATCTTACTGCATGGTGTTTTTGAACAAAGAGTAGACCTAGTATTCGTTTGTTGTTGCTGTCAACAAAGCACATACTAACGGTATCTCAGGTTCTCTTCCCGCCCGTCTTCCTTTGCTAACTACGTCCCAGACTGGCCTCTCTCTCAATTTATCAGCGATGTCTCCTACAATAAGTACCTCAATCCAAATGTCTGACCCCCATTAGAGGCAGACAAAAGCTTGTCGTCTTCCCATTGAAAGAAAGGATTGGAATTCAAGTCCACTTTATATAAGTTTTGTTTACACCAGGGTAGATTTGGGTCAGTAGACCGAACCAAAAGGAGCCTGATGTACCTTGGTTTGCTACTGTATGTATACGAGCTCTCAAAAAATAAATACAGTTGTTTGTCTTCCTTAACTGATCTCGTCTGAGATGGGTCATTATTATCACTTTGTACATTATCGTGGTCAAGAGAAATATATTCCATGTAATGCATCATTACTGATGCAGGTATTTTAATCCTCTGAGTTCCGTATGGAGATTTAGGTTTCCTGGACAGTCCGCTGCCTTCGAAGGCCAGTACGAACCAGATTCCTTTCAAATTTGTGTTTGTTGCCAGTGGCGCCAGCCCAGGGGACCCTGTCATCTCTCCTCTCAATATCCTAGAATGTAGAATGTCATTTTTGCAGCTCTTGGTAGTACAATGAAAAAAGTAAGAGACGGTATCCATTTCATAAAATTCCTGGGTTTTCAAAAGTTTCCCCCAAACATTCTCCAAGTGAGTACTTCCTGTACAAGACTCACTAAATCCATCGCCTTTAGGGTCCGATTCCGCCATATTGGCTATAAACATCAAGGTGTGACTATGAATGTTATGGTTTTCAGTTTAAGCTGTGGCTTTTGAAAGAGGAACTGCAATTGTAAACCTAGGTTAAATAATTTATTATGTGCTATCATATCAGGACAAACTTGATATGCATAAGATTATCAAAACAAAAAACTCTGTGCAGTAGACGGATTGCTTTGCTTTATATCACGTTCTACAAATTTTATTTGATGTTGGCTTAAAATTCGAAATATAATATCGCGTATATGGAAATATTTATTTTGCTAAAAAAAACTATAAGGTAAAAAAAGAAATAGAAAGAAATACATATTCAACCATAATGACATCTAATTTATTCCAGAGAAAAAAAACGCATATCAATATATGTGTGCTATATCATCTCCGCATGTGCAATACTTTTCAGTAAGCAGTAAGAAAATTACAGGATTCCATTTAGGAATCAAAATATATTTGACATAACAATTTGAACTTAAAGAACGAGGGCGCTTTTGATTGGCATTCGGCAGGAACCTGGGCGTACTTGAAAAGTGAAAATTTTATTGACATGTCACATGAAATTTTAACATTTTTTTAATTTATCGGGTTCCTGTGCAACAGGAACGGAAAATATTTTCCCGAAATTTAGCTTTGATTTGCTAAAAAGTAACTTGAAAATTGGCCATATCAGACATTTGGTACAGAATGGTACTTTTTTAAACACACTTTTCTAAAAAAATTTCTATGTCTGGGTCTTCTCTCCATGATTTTGAAACGTTATTTGTGTGTATTTTAATTCAAAGAAACGAATACACTTTATTAAAAAATGGATAGAAGACCCAGAGACCATGAAAAATGAACTTTTCCCCCCAAAATCCAAATGTGTCAATGTGGTGTGTCTTTGTCCTTTTAAAAACCTTTGTATATATGTGTAGGGTGATGGCTCAGTAAGTAAGTCTACCTGTTCAGTGCACTCGAAGCGAAAAGTTTTTGGTTCGAGCCTGGCATGGGGCGTTATTTTTTTTTTATTCAGGCAAACAACCATTTATTTTGTCAGTTTCGTTTTATGTACTGATGTATTAAAATTTTGAATTGGATAAATTTTAGTTCAGTTTGGTTCTCAAGCGAAATCAATTCTAATCTTCTGTTTTAATAATGTACATGTACACGTATCATGCACGTATGCATTAAATATTTTAGGTTTAATTTTTTTTTGTGAAACATTACTATGTTATAGTACCCCCTAGAAAAAAATGGACATAAATGTTACAATTTCATAATGTCTTTCAAACTAAATGAAAAAAAAAAATAACCCATGGACGTGTTTGTAAAATCTGACCAGGTATGTTCAGCCAACCAAATCATGGACATTTAAACCGTAAATGTTTCGTACAAATGATTCCTGCAGATCACCCGCCAAATGCGCCCATCTTCTTTTGTACAACAGTATATGATATCAACAGATGTAATTTAGGCTGTATTTTAAGTTTTTGCTACACAAAACTGAGTACTTATTACAAGAAACACCCTGTGTTGCCCTTAACAGTTACATTCAAGATATGATAAGAGTAATAATATAATTAATTGGGAGATTGAAACTTGAGAGTTTTATTACGCCCCTGTCCTTTAACAAACCCGGTGAAACCGTCAACATTAAAAATAATAACCTAAGGACTTGTGCCCTGTTTACAAAACATTTTCGTTTCACCAGGTGAGTTCAATTTGTTATAGTTGTAGTCACAATTATTCGTCCACCGTAACTGTTGCTCTCAGCAAAGCATCTCAGGTTCTCCTCCCTCCCGTTTCCCTTTGCCAGCCACATCCCAGTCAGGCCTTTCTCTCAGTTTATCAATAGCGATGTCTCCCACCACGAATACCTCAACCCAGAATTCCGACCTGTCATTCGTGGAAGACAAAAGCTTGTCATCTTCCAATTGAAAGAAAGGATTGGAATGTAAGTCCACTCTATGCAAGTTTTGTTCACACCAAGATAAACTTGAGTCTGTTGACCGAATTAAAACAAGCCTTATGTACTGTATATTCCTATTATATGTAAAAGAGCACTCAAAAAATAAATACAAATCACACTTAGAATCCGATTTGATCTCCTTTGATCCCTTCTCATCTGGTCCTCCCATCTTGACTTCTGAGGTTTTACGTTCCGTCTTGACTTTTGAGGCTTTACGTTCCGGACTCTGTTTTTCTACTTCCTCCTGAAAGGATGCGATTTCCATGTCACTCATCATTGCTGAGACCGATATCTTAATTCTCTGAGTTCCATATGGTGACTTTCTGGGAAGCCCACGGTCTTTTAAAGCTGGTACGAACCAGATTCCTTTCAAGTTTGTTTTTGCAGCCAGAGGGGCCCGCTCTGGAGCAATATGCAATTCCCTTCTATAATTTTACACTCCAGAATTTCCTTTTTGCAGCTCACTGATGTGCAGTGTAAAAAATGAGAGACTGTTTCCATTTTACAAAGTTCCTGCTTTCTGAAAAGCTTTTCCCATGAGGTTTTTAAGTCTTGTTTTTGCAAAGCTTATTCAATTCATTTACACAACTATCCGATTTCGCCATGCTTTTTCTTAAAAATAAAGGTATAAAACCTCAATTAGATATTAAAAGATATGTATGATATATGTCCCCTATCGTCTATTATCTGTATGTAAATACAAGTGTACAAATACAAAAAAGTTGAATGTGATATATATATATATATATGTCCAGTATCAGTGTTGTTTGATAATGAAAACATCGATTTGAATTTTGTCTGGGTAACATACGAACTCTGTACCCACGTGAAATATTTTCAAACTTTCTTGTGATCTAAGATAATGAGAAAACACCCATGTTTATGGAAGATCTAGAAAAATCTTCTGTGCAGACAATAGCAAGTTACCCACGAAGTAACGATCCAACGAGCCAATTAATTAACTAAAATTAGTCTTTAATTAACTAAAATGTATACAGTTTAACAACTGTAAATCAAAACAACTGTAAAACAAAATGGCCGATCAAAGGTTTACCTAGGAATATGTAGGAAAAATTTTCTTCTCAAGAACCATTGAGACAGGAAAGATGAAACTCCTGTGAAATCATCCCCAGGTAGTGTAGATTCAAGTTTGTTCAAATCATGACCCCCGGCAGTAGGGTGGGGCCAAATGGCCGATAAAAGTTTTACATAGGAATATCTAGGGAAACCTTTTAAAATCTTCTTTTCAAGTACTTTAAAGCCATGCTTAGTGATATTTATAGGGAATCATCCTCAGGTAGTGTAGATTCAAGTTTGTTCAAATCATGACCCCCTGGGGGGTTAAAATTCAAGCCCCCTCCCCTCTCAGTAAACTTTTAGCTCTGATCTGATGTGTGCTTTTTTTCTAGCTAATTGCTCAGGTGAGCGATGTGGCCCCTAGGTCTCTTGTTTCAGAAGCCTTTGCTAGAATGAATTGAAGGCATCACTATAAATCTTACTATTTCCCATGCAAGAAAGTATTCATGCATCTGTCCTTCTCTAGATAATGACAGTGCCTTTGTTTTGAGAATTGAAATTATGAGTCAAATGCCAAACATAAACTTAATTACCAACCTAAATGTTTCCGAAAACCTCCCAACAAATTATCGCATTAAATACATAAATACAATTATTATTCTAATAATTGTTGTTTGAATTCCGTGCGCACTCCTTGTGATTCTTTGTTGGCCGACAAATTTTTATATTCCTATGGTGCAGAATTTATTCTACATAAGAAGAAAAATCGTAAATTCAAATGAAATTTAAAGGTAGCTTAAATTAAACATGTTAAATAAACATTTCTTTTAAGATATATTATATGTACAGTGGAAAATTATCACAATTATTAACCAATTGCAGCTCTCATATTGAAATCTACAAAGCACAAAATGTATATATACATGCTATAGCATTTCAGGTTCTCGCCCCTCCCGTCTCCCTTTTCCAACTGTGTCCCAGTCTGGTTTCTGTCTCAACTTATCAATCACAATGTCCCCCACAATGAGCACCTCAATCCAGAATTCTGATTCATTATTCCTGGCAGACAAAAGCTTCCCATCTGCCCATTGAAAAAAGGGATTGGAATGTATGTCCAATTTATATAAGTTTTGTTCACACCAAGGTAAATTTGGGTCAGTAGACCGAATTAAAACAAGCCTTATGTACCATGTCTTTCTACAATATGTATACGAGCTCTCAAAAAATAAAAACAGATCCTCTTTAAAATAGGACGTAGAATGTCTGAATACTGCTTTTGCTGGTTTCCCCTTATTGGCCTTTGCAGTTTTTCGCTTTAAACGCCTTTCTTCGTAGAAAGATAATTTTGCTTGAGGTACCTGTAGGTCTTCTTCTTCATCATCATTTTCTTCGTCGTTTTCCATCGAAGCGTTTTCCATGTAATTCATCAATACCGAGAAAGGTATCTTCATCCTCTGAGTCCCGTACGGTGATTTTCTGGGCAGCCCTCTGCCGCCTTCTAAAGCCAGTACGAACCACACTCCTTTCAAGCTTGCGTTTGCAGCCAATGGTACCAGCTCTGGTGACTGTGTACAATTCCCTTTAATAAATCCAGACTTTAGAATTTCCTTTTTGTTACTCACTGATGTGCAGTGAAAAAAGCAAGAGACTCGACCAATTTCCCATTTTTCGGGAGATTTCAAAAGTTTTATCCACACTTTCTTTAAATCTTCCCTGCTTGAGCAAGGTTTACTCAATTCATCGTCATAACAGGCCGATTCAGCCATGTTTTTCGTCTAAAATGATCGTTAAATGGCTGATTTATGAAAATAGATACATTGTTTGTAATACGATCGTTACATAAATATAATATGCACATGTGAAGTAACAATGACGGTAATGAAATTTTTCCATGGTGTATGACTACGTAAAGCTAGTGACTTTTATTGTAAGCCATAATATTTTGAATAGGAGAACTTTAAATGTATAACTGTCAGAGTCTAAATTTTTGTAATGTAAGGCCGAAAATCCCCTATATGTGGAAGCTTTGTACCCTGTTCACAATTCTTAACGTTAACAGCTTTTTTTTCTAAAAATGTTGATCACTATAAATGCATGCCTTTTTTGATCCTTATATAGTAGTACTCCTTTCCTTGGAAAAAGGTTTTATACACCAAATATTTTATGTTTGTAAAATTTTAAATGTATTAAGTTAAAATATAATATTAAATTTAAAATTACGAAGAAAAATTAACAGATCCCAATGCATTTCTCAATTTTTGGGGTGAAGGATGAATTGAAATAAATTACAAACTTGTTAATTATTTAAATGCCAATTCAAATTAACTTGTTTAACCCAGTACGAAACATAATAATATCTTGATGTAGCCACCATTTAAACCTTTATTTATTCACAAATACCGTCAGCTAATTTCTATACGTGTAATATGTTTTATAAGCATAAATACCTGTAATTTAAAATTACGTAGTAATAGAGTATTTTTTTCAGTGTTGAAATCTTTTTTTTTTCCTAAAATCCCTTTCAGATTTTTTCCACTCAATTTGGAAGTTTCAAGGTGATGCAGACAGACACATCAAACACTGTACTGGAGCGTATTAAAATATCTGATTTCCAGATACTCGTATATATGAATTGTAAAAAAAGTCAACTTTATAAAACGCATATCCTGGGGTTCCCTCCTGCACGCAAGCCTTTGCCAACTTCATTCCATTCGGGTTCGACTTTTACTTTATCAAGTTCAATATTGCCAACCATAAGTACCTCAAAGCGAAGCGCGCATTCGTTGGAACCGTCGTTCTTTGATGATGTAAGCTTATATTCGGTCCATTGGAAAAAGGGGTTTTCATTCTATTCAACTTTATGCAGATTATCCCCACACCGTGGTACATTTGGTTCATTTGAGCGGAGTAGTACTAGCCTGACATATTTCGATCTTTTATTGTAAGCATGTGTACTCTCAAAAAATAAAACCGTATCCTCTTGACTTTTTGACTTGATTTCCCTAAACACCGTCTTTTTGCGTTTTCCTTTCTTGGCTTTTGCAGTTTCTCTTTTGGAGCGTTGTTTTTGGTAGAAAGATAACTTTGCTGGAGCTGCATCATCCACATCATCATCTACTTCATCGTCATCCTCGGCCATTGAAGTGTTTCCCATGTATGTCATTAAATACGACACATGTACAGTACTTTGATTCTTTGGGTACTGTAAGGTGACTTTCTTGGAAGCTCACCATCCTTCGAAGCCAGAGCAAACCAGTTTCATTTGAGATCTTTGTTAGATGCTAAAGGCGCCCGCGCCGAGGACTCGGTGTATCCTCCATACAATTTTCTAGACTCCAGAATTCTCTCCTTTCCCGTCAATGAGGTGCAGTGCAAGAAATGAGAGACTTGTTCCTCGTCAGTAAAGTTTTGATCCACAATCTCCATAAGCAGGTTCCAAAGCCTGCCCAATTCTTCTTTCGATTTGCATGGTACTCTTAAGCCCCCGACAGATCTCGCCATGTTTACGAAATTTAAAGCTATTCTAGACAGTAAATACCTACATAAAAATCAGATCAATACCTCTGCCGACCCGGATTAGATACTTATAAGTAACTGCTGCATTTTCTGAAAACGCTTTTTAAGAGGATGTGCACATGACACACTTTATCTTTAGTAATTTTTGTGAGTAAACGATACGAAGTCATTTATGAGGAAAATATATGATACATATTTCCTCAGCCATACCTTTCCTTTACCAGTGAAGGTCACTGTTTGGGCTGAATTCATTTAAAAAAAAAACCCAAAGACTTTAGCACTTCTTATTGATTTAAAAACGTATTTTTAACGTTGATTTTGCATTGATTTTTGCTACCTTATTGTGTTGTACTAGGTCAATACTTATGAAATGAATACGCACACCAGCCGAACGATTGTAATTTATAAAATTCACTCTAAATAAAATAATGGAGGTCATGAAAGTGCATTAACTTGTTGATATGCCTTTAAACAAAGGTACTTAACTGGACAAAAAATTTCATGAACCATTAATTTATTAAAAATAAGGAATAGCGACGATACGTAGCACATAATAGTACTAAGAAACTCAAGAATTATTCCCTATTACTGTCCCCTTGGCTTAGTTTCCGCTGATTGTTACAGAATTTATCAGTACCCTCTATGTACATTGAGTTTCTACGAATCGAGCCATTTATAGTTAGTGCCGATTGTTTGCAACGGAGCAGTCACTTTAATTTCCCATCACAACATTCTTTTTTCAAATTCTAAAGTTTTAGGTCAAACCTTTTTTTGAAAGTTGGTCAAACGTAAAGGTCAAAGGGTGTCTAAAAACTGTAACCAAAATAATGTCTAGTTACAAGAAATACACAAGTAAAATATAATAGTCCTAACATGAACTGTTCAAAAGTAATGGACAAGGTTAGGGTTTTTTTCAAAAGTATGTTAAACTCTAAGGTCAAAGGCAAAAAAAACTTTAACCTTTCCCATAACTATTGATTGGTTGGAGCTAAACTTTTATATTTCACAATTGTATTGCTTTGTGACAAGGCATTTCTTTGGCCGCCTACATATTTGACCTCTCGAGATTGGCCGTAAAATCTTATTCTCTTTTACAAATATTACCAAACTTTAACCGTGGACAAAACCTTTGAACAGTTTGCATTAGGAACTAATATTTTATAGCATAAACATAGATATATGTCATCTGTAATATCTGTATTATTATTTTTGTGTATTTGTATTTCATGTATATTCAATCCTTCCAGCCAGGGTGTGTTTGTGTAAGTGTGTGTAAGTTTGTTTATGTCATAAGTCAATAGATAAAAAAACAAGTACATTATATACATCTTGAACTTGTCTTTGGAGTTTGCCTTGTATCTAAGAAACTTGAATCTTCACCAAAATTGCCATACCTGAACATCAGTATTTCACAAACATGTATTGTTTTCTTAGGATCTTTGTCTCTTGATTAAATGATTTAATCTGTCAAGGTAGGAGACCAGGAATGCTATGGACTGTAATTAGAGAAATAATTTTCTATTATTCATTGATTTGTTTATTGATTAATCTATTCAAAATGCGTTGTTTTAAAAAGAACCATGCAGGCGTCACTTCTAAGGTCAGTAGAGTGGACCAATGTAACTTATGCAATAACTCTACCTTCATGTTTGACAATGATCACTGAGTCCTTTAATTCTTTTATCCATTATGTATCATTGATGATAGCAAACTTTATCTGCATATCTGCATATGCCCACAAACATGACCACTATTGATTACAGTGTCTTTTAAATTCTTTTCCATCTATGAGGAGGTACATGTATCACTGTTAACAATCATAGCAAACTCTGCATGTTCCCACAAACTTGACCCTTAGATAATACATAAAATTATGCAGGAACCAGAGGAAATACACACCAACCACAAGTACTTCCAAGTTTGGTGAATACTGGGTTGTGATGATCGAAGATGCAAATTAAAGACTGGAGCTAAATGGTAAGTCATTCAGTAAATACAAATTCAGTAAGCTTCTTTAAAGTCCCTATAATTAAATTTTAAAACAGTCTCAAGCAATCTTCTAGATCTTTATAATCATGCATATTGTTAATACAAATGAAGATCTTGAATATATTAATATTAATCTCTATATCCAACTAAATCTAGAAAATAATGGAAAAGATTGTGAAATGAAAGTTTTCAAATCCTCTTTCATGCACAAAGATATCAAAACTGCATATTACTGTATACTGTAGATAACTAAAATTTCGAGACACCTTATATTCGCGAGATAGTCATTTACTCTTAATTAGCGAGACAAAATGTTCGCGAATTGTGCTTATTGCTCTATATAATCTTACGGAATATTATTATACGCGAGAATTAAATTTTCGCGAGCACACTGTCTCGCGTAATAACGCGAAAATAGAGTTCTCGCGAATAAAAAGTGATTTACAGTATTTGACATAATTAAAAAAAATATCCAAGAAATTATATGTAATAAAATGATTTTTTTAAAAAGTACGTTCGGGCTTTTAAACATGTTTGTAAAACTTTTATTTCACTTGTATACCTTCAGGGAGTCGACTGGGGTTTTATTTTGTGAAAACTACGATATCGAAACACTTGATTTTTACACCATGATTTTTAACTTTCATTGACTTCAGTGTACATACCAAGTTTAGGGAAAATATACCGTCCAGGTATTTAAAGGGACCGTCTCAAAATACAGGTACATTTAGTATAGAATCATATAGGAAATTGTCATTTTTCACACATATTAGCAACAAATACTATTATAGACTTTTTGCTCAAACTGTAATATATATGATGAGTATTACTATGAAAGCATCCCCTGTCGACCGGTCACATCCATCGTGTGCTCCTTGTCAAGATCTGGAAATAACGGAAAAATCCGTCGTCAATTCAGTGTATAGATAATGGACTAACAATAAGTATGAAAAACGTCAGTCAGAATTCGACTCAATGATAAAATGTATTTGCTGACAAGATCATTGTATTGTATATTGTAATATATAAGAAACACAAAATTCTATCGTCTTGTTTCCAAAGGGGAGATCTAAAATTCCATAAATTAACGAAATTTCCTGTTTTTGTAGAGTATTGCTAATATGAAGGACAACACAGTATCTATATTTAAAAAAATATATAAAGGAAGGAGAGATTCTCAAATTTCTATGTTTTTAATTTCAATAGCATATATTTATTACTCTTTCTTTTATAACATTTGTATAACCCCTTCTTTAAGGGAAATTTAAAATTTTCAACATATAATTTGATTCTATTGAAGAATTTTAATCAAGTGAAAAAATTGCTTTAAATCAGTAAATTTATTTCATTTTACTTTGATGCGCAAAATAATGCGCAATGGAAGCCCCAGTCGGTCCCCTTAAAGGTACTTGGACACAGATTTGAAGTTAATATTTTCTCTATAATATTACGACTTACATACTTTAATAGCATTTCACACAAAAATTAATTAAAAGTCTTATTTCGTTTAAAAGTTATTCAAACTTTAAATTTTTTGGTGGGTTTGATTGACACATCCTTGCACTTTCACAAATTTTAACTTTATTCTTAACCCTTAGGAAAACTGGCAAATTTGTTGTGTATTAATGAAAAATATTAATATTATAATCCAGAAAATTCAGAGTAGACATGTTCGAAAGCAAAACAAACACACAATATATTGTAAGTCCGTGCAGTTGTGGTGAAAAGACTAAGGCGATTGAACGCACCCGGTGAATCGTAAGCATCAAACAATAACAGAGATCCTGTCCTGTTTACAAAAACTGTGTACATAACACGAGTGTGCTCGATTTGCAAAACTCACAACGGAATGACGATACATGTAAAGGAGTTTTGCTTTTTAACATTTCCACTCTGAATAAAATTATTTTTCTGAATTTAAGTTTTAATATTTTTCATTAATACACAACAAGATGTGTCCATCAAACCCGCCAAAAATTTTAAAGTTTTAATAACTTTTCAATGAAATAAGATTTTAAATTAATTTTTGTGTGAAATGCTATTAAAATATATATTACGTGATATTATACAGAAAATATTAACTTCAAATCTGTGTCCAAGTACCTTTAGATAACTAATAACGCAACTAAAAAGCCCGTAAACCACACGCCTTTGCAAACTTATTTTCATACATACGAGTACAAACTGTCTCCGAGTACATACCAGCAAAAATTTATCAGAAAGAAGTGTGATCTCATATTCAATTTGCTTATACACAAAACTCATCATGTTTAGATAAAAATTGATGAAAATCAGAAATATGTTCATATGCTTAGAGAATTTCTGTTCACATACGTTTTTCCCTTTAAAATTATTAAGAGTTATATCTAAGATGGAGAACAAGAGGTGCATGGACCTAGGGGCATGGGGTGTATGTCCAGAGGCCATGGTATTCAAAATTTTGAAAGAGGCATCATTGCTCATCATAACTAGACACTAAGCATGCTTAGTTTGGTTACTTTATACCCATAGGAAGAATGGGGGATCAAAAATGCATTTCAACTAATCAGTAATTGTCAGCAATGATAAGTAGAGCCTCCAACCCACATGAACTCCTGACCAAATATAATATATGTATTACTTAAGTATGAAGGACCAATTTACTATCGCACTATCGAGTATATAGATTAAAAGATCGACAGAAAGACAGTGCCATGGTGCAACAATGATCAAGCAATAATAAAAAATAATGAAACACTTTGATGATTCGAAACCTCCTCTTATCTTAAATATTCACATATAAAAATAAAATTCCCAGAGAAGGTCAAGGTAACCAATTTTATAGTAAACATACTCCGTGACCCCAAACTGCATCAACTTACAAAGTTTGATGATTCTATGCCTCTTATTATATTCGAAATATTCAGATACTGCTTTAAAGGGGCATGGACGCAGTTTCAGCTAAAACTTCAAAATTTATTTTTCCATTATACTTTTACAAATATTAAATTAGGGTCTTTCTAATGATCATCAAAAATTTTAACGTCAGTTGTCGAGATGAAAGACAGATTTAGAGCTCCAAACCTTTGTTATGTAAACAAGGTCCGTGGTGTTTTTTTTTTTTTTTGTTTACATAGGTTAATATACTTATACATGTTAGTTCAAAGTAGATGATTTCAATAACAAAGTTAATCTTAAATACGATTCGACAATTTCTTTCGATTTACTAAACATTATTCTGTTATAAATATGATATTTTCTATATGTAAACAAAAACAAGGCACGAGCCTTATTTACATTATGAAGAATTTTAAGTTCTGTATCTCGTTTGTTAATTAACAAATGATGTTCAAATTTTTGCTAATCATTAGATGATGCCTGAGGTAGGAATTGTAAACATTAAAATTGGTTTTAAAAATTCAGTTGAAACTGTGTCAATGCCCCTTTAAAGTACCAAAAGTTGGTTACTGGACCTATTTTTAATTGAAACATTCTGCAGATTCAAGATTTTTATTCTACGTCAATTAGTTTCCGAAACATTAAATTATAATTATTAAATTCCAAAGCAGGTCCCAATAAGCTTTTTTTTGGTTTAGAAACCCCAAGGATCAAGTTTCGATGATTCTAAACAAATTAATATCTTTAATATTTAAATATACTCTAATTTAAAAAAAATCTTTTCAAGAACAGCACAGCCATCTTTAAAATAAGGGTGAAACTTTACGCGTGCTTACACGGGAAAGAAATCTTTTTTAAAATGTTTTTTATCACAGAAAAAAGACAAAAAAAAAGCTTTTAAAATCTTCTGAAAAATAGCTGGACTGACTCTCGTGTGCATTGTGTCTAATGAGCTTCTTCTTTAAATCAATTTCAGTTCAACTTTCTCAGACAATGTCCTTTTGGAATTCCGGGCCACCGTGTGACTTTTGTTCTCAATCTATTTTTCCTAAAAAGTTCCTTTCTCAATCCACTGATCCTAAAAAGTTCTGCAATAAATGTCAAGTGATATTATGTTCGAAATGTGTCACTGTACATGAAGACAAGCTCAAATATCTAGCACATGACATTGTTGATTTTGAAGAAAGAAAGATCCTACCATTGCTTCCTGAGTGCAATTTTCACTCCAGCGAAAAATGTGTAGCCCACTGCCAACTATGCGAAACCCATGTTTGTCTAAAGTGCATTCTTGGTGACCACAATGAGCACAAAATGAAAGACATGGAAGATATTTTCAATGAAAAGAAGAATGAAATCGAAGAAGATAACGAAGAAATTAAATCGACTATTATCCCTAAGTATGAGAAGGAAATAAAAAATGCAGAGATTGAAATATCATCTAAAACAGCCAAATCTGAAGAAATGGAAAAAGAAAAAGAAAAATATAGAAAACAGTGGCACCTAGAAGTAGACACCATCTTCAACAAACTGGATTACTTAATCAAGTCCAAAAGTAAAGATCATACCTGCTCTTTAAAATCCCATCAATCCAGGTTAAGAAACCTTGTTCAAAGTATGAAACAAACAGTTGAACAAAATGAAAAAATCCTGAATACTAACGAAGTGTCTGGAGTGAGCAACTACAAATCCAAAGTACAGGAATACAGAGACATGACTCCTGGTCACATTGATGTCGAAATTCCTTCACTGAATACAAAAACGGACCAAGAGAATGAACTTTGCATAGAATTAGAAGAATACAAGGCAACACTAACGCAGACAGGATTTTCCAGTCTGAGCGAAGAAGCATCTTTTTTATCTACAGGAGAATTATTAGAGAAAGCTAAAGTGATTTCCACTGTTCCTACTGAAGTTAGACCTCTATCTGGAATGGCCTGTGTAGGAACAGATGAAATCTGGGTTAGTTTTGGTGCGATGTTTAGTCAAGATAACCAAGTCATAAAACGTGTAAACATACACGGGGCTTGTCAAAATTCTGTCACCACCATGGGTAAACACAGTCCTGGTGGTATATTTGTGACCGGAAGGGGAGAGCTGATATACAGTGACTGTGAAAATGATACCGTGAACCTTGTCAGAAATGGGAAGACAGAAGTAATGATCACCCTACCAAAAGGCTGGAAACCATATGGACTGTGCTGTACCAGATCGAATGATATCCTGGTCAATATAAATAACCTTTCAAAAAACAAAATAATATACTATCAGGAAAGGGAAATCAAACAGAATAAAGATGCACAGGGAAAATTAATCTTTGAAGGAGGATTTTGCCAACTCTTTGTTGCTGAGAATATCAATGGAGACATCTGTGTCTCTGATTCTGATTTTAATCGTGGCATTTTATCCACAATTGACATAACAGGGAAAGTTCGATTCCAGTACGACGGTACAGCAGCCAAGAAAGAGAAGTCCTTTAGTCCTAGAAATACAGTGACAGACTGTATGGGTCATATAATCGTGACAGATTACAACAATGCTTGTCTACATATCCTAGATCAGAACGGAAAGTTCCTAAAATGCGTGGACAATTGTGGTCTTGATAGTCCGCATACTTTGAGCATTGACAGCTTAGGGAGATTATGGGTAGGATCAGAACAATCAGGAGAGGTGAAGGTGATTCAGTACATGAAATAAACATCTAATTATGCTTGGGCAAGATGAGTGAGATGGTCATTACCAATTGAGATGTTATGTTTGAACTGCTTTTCTGAAAAACACTTCTGCACTCTGAATTAGTGTACATGTTTTGCAGTTATCTGTTTAATTATAATATTTTTAAAAGCGTTGTAAATTGTGAAAGTTCAGACATAGTTTTGACAATATTGTTAATACAGAATGAACTTGTGTGTCATTTGTACTGTTGAGTGATAAATGTCTGATTCCTTTGACAAGGTTTTTTTGGTCTATGGAAATTGAATAGAATGTATGTACATAGAGTTTCCTGATCAAGATAATTAACAGAATTTTTTCTAGCTTCTAATATGTTTTATGAATCTTCTTTATATAAATCAAAGTAGTTGAAATTAGAGGTACTGTGAGCACTGAGCTCAATAATTGATACCCCGGCCTCCCATATGATTATAGTGGCAAAGTCCATGTTTTGGACTTGGAGACCCGAAAGAAGTGTCAAATCAAATAGCAAAGTAGCAGGTGTACAATGGCATTATGTAATAAAGAATCTGTAAACGTATTATTAAATTTTATTCCGTTGTATAAGAGGAATTGTGGATAAGAGATATGTCTCAGTCCTCACAATACCATGAATTTTTTTATCTTTTGAATGACCACCTTTTGTATCAAGCAATATGTATCATATATTAAAAAAAAAAAAAAAAAATACTAGAGGTACTGTGAGCGATGAGCTCACTAAATGATACCCCCGCCTCCATATAGTTATAATGGCAAAGTCCATGTTTTGCTGTGGCCGGGAAACCCAAATTATGTGCCCTGTCGGATCAAAAAGTAAAATAGGAGGTGCAGAATGGCAATATGTAATAAAGATTCTGTGAAAGTTTCTTCAAATTTCATTCAGTGGTATGAGAGGAGTTGCGGATAAGAGATGGGTACCCCAAAGCGTAACAGACGGACGGACGGAAGGACGGACGTACAGACGGTCGGACGGACGGACAGACGGACGGAATTAACGATTACTATATACCCTCCCACTTTCAAGCGGGGGGTATAATGAACCATTAAACTCTGTAACTAACACACCCCTATTCTAAAACACTTATTCATTAGGTCTTGTTGGCTCTTTTTAGTGCTAGCTCCATTATGATGTCATAATTGATTTAGACCTATTTTCCCCGTACTTTACGACAGTAATAGAATTTATGTAATTATACAGAACAATTTTATACCCCCCGCTTGAAAAGCTAGAGGGTATATAGTAATCAGTATGTCCGTCCGTACGTCCGTCTATCCGTCCGTCTGTTACGCTTTGGGGTTCCCATCTCTTATCCGCAACTCCTCTCATATCACTGCATGGAATTTGCTGACATTTTCACAGAATCTTTATCATATATTGCTATTATGCACCTCCTATTTTATTTTTTGATCCGACACACATTTTGGATTTCCCAGAGCAAAACATGGACACTGCCATTACATTCATATGGGAGGCGGAGGTATCATTTAGTGAATTCATTGTTTGATAAATGAGTTTGTTATTTTCAGTATATCTGGACAATGGTTATTACAGCAAAGCTTAACTTTATTTATTTATTCATTAATTGTTTGTTTCACATACCGTTCCACATACTGTATTTCTTTCCAGTTTCCTACATTAATAATTTAATTAATTCATTTTAATATTTATTATTCCCCCGCTTAAAAAGTGGGAGGGTATATAGTAATCGGTATGTCTGTCCGTCTGTTACGCTTTGGGGTACCCATCTCTTATCCGCAACTCCTCTTTTACCACTGAGTAAAATTTAATGAAACTTTCACAGAATTTTTATCATATATTGCCATTGTGCACCTCCTATTTTTTTACTTTTTGATCCGACAGATATTTTAGATTTCCCGGTTACAGCAAAACATGAAATTTGCCATTATAACCATATGGGAGGCGGGGGGTATCATTTAGTGAGATCATTGTTCACAATACTCTAGTAAAATAATGTATAGTAATTGCTATGTCCGTCCGTCTGTTACGCTTTGGGGTACCCATCTCTTATCTGCAACTCCTCTCATAGACCTGACTGAAATTTGACAAAACTTTCACAGAATCTTTATAACATATTGACACCTCCTTTACTTTTTGATCCGACACACATTTTCCACAGCAAAGTCTTATCAAATTTCAGTCAGTGCTATGAGAGGAGTTGCGGATAAGGGCCCTAAAGCGTAACAGATGGACGGACGGAGAGACGTACGGACGGATGGACAAACCGATTACTATATACCCCCCCCCCAGCTTTTCAAGCGGGGGATATAATAAAAGGTGCACAATGACATTATGTAATAAAGAATCTGTGAAAGTGTCTTAAAATTCAGTGTTAAAGAAGGAGTTGTGGATAAGAGATGGGTACCCTTCAATATTATAAAATAAATGGCAGGTCAGTATTTCGCTAAAGGAGACCCGAAATATGTATCTGATCAATTGTAAAAAGGTACACAATGAAACTATCTAACGATCAATCTGTGAAAGTCTAATTAAATTTCATCCAGTGGTATAGGAGGGTTATTATATTTTAAGTCTGCATTTTTTTAAGGTACTCGTATATTAAAATTCGAATTAAGAAAAGAAAACTATAAAACTCCTATCTCAGGGTCTTTTCCTGCACGCACATCTTTGCCAACTCCGTCCCATTCAAAATCGACTTTTTCTACGTCGATATCTCCAGCTATGAGTACTTCAACGCAAAGCACACATTTGTTAGAACCATCGTTCTTCGAAGACGTAAGATTATTATCGGATCAATGGAAAACGGAATTTTTATATAAGTCAATCTTATGTAAATTTTCTGCACACCAAGGCGAATTCGGGTCATTTGAGCGGATTAAAACTAACCTGGCGTATTGCGATCCTTCATTGTAAAAATGTGCACTTTCAAAAAATAAAACGGGATCCTCACGATTTTTTAATTCAGTCTTTCTTGTTGTATCCTTCGGCTTTTCCTTATAAGCTTTCAGACTTTTCCTTTTTGCACGTCGTTTCCTGTAGAAAAATGACTTTGCTACAGCTGAAGCTGAATCATCATAATCATCATAATTTACATCCTCATCCAAAGATGTGTTTGTCATATAATCCATCATACATTGTACAGGTTTTGATTCTTTGGGTACCGTAAGGTGACTTTCTTGGAAGCTCATCATCCTTCAAAGCCAGCGCAAACCAGTTTCCCTTGAGATCTTTGTTAGACGCTAAAGGCGCCAGTGCCGGGGACTCAGTGTATCCTCCATACGATTTTCTAAACCGTCGAATTTTGCTTTTACCTGTCAATGAGTTGCAGTGAAAAAAGTGTGTGACTTGTTTCTCGTCACTAAATTTTTGATAAACAGCATCCATCAGCTTGTCCCAAAGTCTGCCCAGTTCTTCTTTCGTTGTGAAAGGTGCTTTTAATTCCTTTTCATCTAGAAACATTGCCATGGTTAAACATGTACATTTAAAGACATTTAGTCATTCAGATATCACATTAACAAATCATTACCCGTGACTACCTAGACCTATATAACATTTTCCGGAAATATACACAATGGTTTTTTTTTTTTTGTTTTGTTTTTTATTTATTTTCATTTGTATTCTGAGAAAACGAAACAAAAATTTATATAAGATTTGTTAAAGGTTATATATCTATGACATTTTTGTCCTTTGGATTAAAAAAAAATGTTACAAAAAACCTGTCTTGTCACAAAGAATACATAAATGAATTTATAAAAATCTTTTCAGCAACCATTCAAAAGTTATTGTAAAAGTAGTTCAAGCTCCAGTGTCAAAATTAAAAGGTTAAAATGTACAACATTATATATCTGTCAAATGAAATAAACCTCTAATTTGAAAAACTACAAGCATTCTTAGAAACAATTTTTTTGTAAATTTACACAATGCATCTTAAGCATAGGCTATTCAAGATTTATATACAGTAAATTGTTTATATAAGTACATATACTGAGGCATGAACTGATCATTCAGTACACTTGAGCACTAGTTTGTCTATTCTGCTGTGATAGAAATATGGACGGTACATTTAGATTGACACTGGTCGTTTGATGGCGCCTTCCTCCAAGAATCTGAAGTTCTCTCACAAACGGTTCTAAGTTGAAACCAAGTGGTGTATTCATACCAAGTATTTGGTTACATGAAATCGGCTGATTTCTGGAGAAAAATCATAAAGGAAAAATAAATCATTAAATTGCCAAATAGGTTCATGCAGTAGGTTAATTACATTTTGAAACGGTTTAAATACTTAACCATTTTTAAATACATACAGCTTAGATGCTCTTACCTGTAAAGTATTGTCGATTTTTAATCGTGTCGAAATGAGGGGGGGGGGGGGGGGGGGGAGGATTACGACCACATTAATATTAATAGATTTATACCATTACATGGATTCTTTGAAAATTCATTTTTAAGTTTTATCAAATTGTTTAATAAAAAACATCTTTCTTTTTTTTTTTACCAATGGTCACTCAAAATTAATTAATTCTCAAAAACGTCTGTTAACAGTAATACATGTACAGTATAGGATGAAATAAAGTCGAATAATTTCTCGAATATATTAACTTAAAGTTTATTTTCAAAATCAATAATGCCACCCCAAATGATCTTCAAATTGCTAAAAAGGTATAATTAAAATTTAAAGAACGCCATGATATCGCTTCTCTTTATATGCACTGTAATCCGGTGTTCACGATTAGCCCGTGCAGTTGCAGTTACATGTAGCTATGTGTTTATTTATCTGCGAGATTATATCAGTCATTTGGTTTCATTTAGAAAAGTACCGTTACTTCTGTATACATGTCTGTTATAAATAATAGCATGAAAAACGATGATAGATAGTGATACATAAATACAATTAAATTTTAACAAAACACGCCTAAGTGCAGGAATACCGTTGCTCCATTATTATGCGCCACACTGTAAGACTATGAACTAAATATCGACGATTTTGTGTGTGTGTGGGGGGGGGGGGTCTTGTTAATAAAATAATCACAGGTATTTCTATTCAGAATATCAATAATATCATAGCTAGTATTTGAATGTATTTCTATTTTTTTGCTGTTTTCGAAAATTACTAAAATCATGTTTATGAACATAAACAAATTTCAGATAAAACACAAACATAAATATGGGCCCTTAAAATATTTGAACACACAACACAGGAATTAACTTATTTCAATCAGCAAGTTGCCATGCTTCAAGTTTTTAGATGTCTGTGTAACCGTTCGGTTTTCCTCAGGTAAGTTTGGTGTGGAGTGGAGCTTACTCGAAGCGGATTAGAAGCCCCGAGGAAACGACGCTGTCTAGTGTACATACTACCTATATACACAGGATGTTACCTGAGTGTATTACCTGTATGCGTTTTCCTACGACATCGTGAAACGAAGCCGTTTTTTGTTGTTTTTTTTTTCATGTGTAGCTCATGAATTGAAATGCATGAAATAAAGAATGTTTTTTTTGCAGACAGAATCCTTTTTAAATTTTTTGTTTCAAATAAATATTTTCAATAATTCGACAATTTTGATATACTGTGTTTTTCTTAATCAAATTTTATAACAAAAATACATTTTATTCTACCACCAAAATCTGTCGTTGTAATCTGGCGACAAAAAGGGAAGTAATTCAAATGTACATATGCTAAACGAAAGAAGAAAGTGGATCATAAACAAGTCTCTCGATAAATAACAATAAAACTTAGACAAATTCGACAAATGGTCAATAAACTGATAAATCAGCGGCAGTTTTATTCGTTAGACTTAAGAAATTGATATACTGATCAAAAAGGAGGAAAAACGATCATGCACGTGCCTTAATATTGTGATATTTTTCTTCTCTCTCTCTCTCTCTCTCTTTCAATCTTCTAACTGGTACAGATATAAACAGACACGAAATAACATAGTAATGGATCATTATTTGATTTAATTAATATCAAATACTTCATTAATTTGTTTTAATTTTTTTTTTACTTTTATTCTTTTTATACACTCCGGATCCGTTTAAAAAAAAGCAACAATAATTTGACACAAATTCCAAGGCTAATATCGCATCTGAAAATGATATCTATGGAACGCCATCACTGCCTTATAGCATACAACTATGCATTTATTACGTCAATTTATCATTACGTGATGTGAACATATCTTTACGTTATGTCCATTTTTTATGGGATGATGAAAATATATCTTAACATCATGTCAATGCTGCATTACATGAAGTAAATACATCCTTTCATTATATCAGCACTTCATAACTTGAAGTAAAAAATTCATTATGTGAAGTGATAATGTGTTTACATTGTGTTAAAACTTTATTACGTGAAATGAATGTTTCTTTACATCATTTCATTTCTTTAATATGTGAGGTCAAAATTGCATTACGTCAAGTAAATTGTGTTTTATAATTAAACTTATCATCACATGAAGTCAAAAGCCCATTCCTTTTTGAGAGTGTATATTTCTATTATATCAAAGTATTATTACGTGATATGGATTTATCTTTATTTTACGGCGAGGACATCATGATGTGAGGTGAACACATCTTACCTTTATGTCAGTGCTTTATTACGTGGTGTAAAAAGTGTATAACATAATGTGAACATATCTTTATATTATATCAACACTTTATTACATTATGTCAAAACTCCATACCGTGATGTGGATATATTATAACGTTATGCCAACTCTTTCTTATGTGATTTAAAAATATCTTTATATTGTGTTAACTCTTTATCATGTGGATTACAAGTTCATTACCTGATGCAAAAATACATAATTTACATTAACTCAAAGCTGTATATCTAGTATATAATAAATGTTGACGACCGTGTTTTAATGACTGGTAAGAAGGGGGGGGGGGGGTCGTGATTAGGACAAATTACAGGCACATAATATCAACCCCCCTCTTTTCCCAGACATAACTTTACTATAGAAAATGTAATGTTCATTGAAAATGTACAGCCCCCCTCCCCACCCCCACTTCTTGTTGAAATATAGTCCACTAAGGGTAATATAATATATCTGGAAAAAAATAGGATTGATTGAAGTTGGACCACTCTCCCCGAAATAGGATTTTCGGGCTTGGACATTTTTTTTCTTGGCTTGTCTAGTTTTTTCGGATAAATGATTTTTTTTTACTGGCTGACCTCCTCTTTCAAAAAAATGATGCTACGTCACTGGAGTTAGTAATTTTTTTTAATCATTCCAGGGCCAGAATTCTATTACAAAAATCTACCAGTCGCTCATCTAAATCAATTGAATATGCCTTAGTAAGCATGCATGGGCACATATCAGTGGCAGATATGGGAATCTTGAACAAGGAAGGGGGACGGTATATGGTTGGAGACCAAGGGCGGAAAGCGGAGAAGCTCTCAGGCTTTATAGTTTTATAGAAAAAAGTTTTCAACTTAATTCAGCTAAACTTAATATGAAACTAATGCAATGTCCTACAAAGTTTAAGACTTTTATAAAAAAACAAAAAACAATTCAAAATAAAAAGAATAAATGATTGCTGCACTATAAAAAAAAAAAATTCAAAATAAAAAGAAAAAAATGATTGCTGCACGACTCATAATATTTGATTTATTTAATTATCAGATTAAAGTAAACACCATTGAATTTCGACGTGACTTTAATTCACAGTCGCAGTGTTAAGGCTTTGCATGTTTCAAGATTGTCAATCATTTGTCGCTTAAAGTTTTCATTTAAAGATGTCATTCCGAAATAGCTGAGAATCTCTTCTACGACAGTTTTCTCTCCCGCCATTTTAGTGTTTGCGGAACGCGGAAAATACGTTATGCTCATATAAAGGCCGAGGATACCCGCGTTCGCATAACGTAATAGGGAATCGACATAATGTAGAAGAGTGCGCACAGTATGGCATGAGCTTTTCACATCAGTTAATAAAAACTAAGATTGTCATGAAAAGTAAACATAACGAAATGCAAGTTGACGAAATAAAATTGTAGTATGTGTAAATGTCATAAAGAGTTGATATAATGTAAAGGAAAGTTAACACGATGCAATAGTAGTGTGGGTTAATGCCATAAAGAGTTGACATAATGTAATGGAAGGTTGGCACAATGCAATAGTAGGGTGGGTTAATGTCATAAAGAGTTGACATAATGTAATGGAAGGTTGACACAATGCAATAGTAGTGTGGGTTAATGTCATAAAGAGTTGACATAATGTAATGGAAGGTTGGCACAATGCAATAGTAGGGTGGGTTAATGTCATAAAGAGTTGACATAATGTAATGGAAGGTTGACACAATGCAATAGTAGTGTTCTGCTATAAGGCAGTGACGGCGTTCCATAGATATCGATGAAATAATAATGAAACAATGAATCAAATGTGTTGTTGAATGGCTAGACAACGATGTGCACATCCAGCGAGCGTTACCCAAGGTATACTATAAGACAGGTGTGAAACCCTCAGGGCATGTCGTTTCCTGCTCAGGCACTGCTAATCCCTATACACAGGAAATGATCGCGGCTAATACTTAATACACAAAGAAACAGAATTTGTCAAAGAAAACAAAAATATATGAATTTTTGCATTGAATATTTATTAATATAAACTATAATTTCGTCTGTGAAGTTTATCATTACACCTGCACATCCTATCTTATCTATTGAACACGAAAATCGAGAAATATTAAAATTAAAAAGAAAGACATTGTATTAAAAAGTAAAACATGTTAATGTGAAGGTGAAAAACGATATTTTTTCTTGATCTCTTGTATAAAGTTCACGTGCTCAAAGTCAACTCTCGTCATCGAATACTTTCCGCTCATTTGACAATTTGAGAAAAATGCCTGCACATTTATATAAAAGAGGGAAATACATTAAAGAAAATTAATTAATTAAATTAAATTGATTTGGGAACAGAACATAAACAATGAGAAATAAAGAAGAATAGAACTTTTTCTTGATATCTTGGATAAAGAAAATTTAAGTTCACGTGCCCACTACATGTAACTGCAAATGCTCGTAATCGGATGTTTTCCTGTAATTTGACACTTTAAGAAAAAGCCTGTACATTTTATATACAATAAATCGAAATTAATTAATAAACAATATGAAGATGTACATTTTTTAAAGATGTACATCTTTTTTTTTCAAATGAATGCTGAAAATCGTTCATCGAAACTTAAACAGTCTGAGTTCAACATTTATTACAGTTTGCATATAATATGAAGATTAAAAAAAAACAAATTAAAATTTTTAGTATTTAATTTTGTTTCTTGATTGATTCTTAATAACATAAAATAATTAACCAATTGCAAAGACGTAACAATTTAATGAAATTTTCTATTCAATTTCAAAGATTGATATGTAATTTTAGAAACAAAAATAAACTTATTTTTTCTTAGTTTAAATTCTATTCATAGCAAAATTTATTAATAAACACACGGGTTTTTTTGTTTGTTTTTTTGTTTGTTTGTTTTTGTTTTTTTGTTTTTTTCTTTTGGTTACAGGGAAAATTCGCAAATTTCAATTCGGGGAGATAACTCCCGTTTGTTTACGATACTAATTGTCAGCAATTGATCGATGATTTAACCGCGGCGGGGACAGGTAAGTGATGAATTTCCCGCGGAGGGAACGCGGTTTACCTGTCTACCTGGCCAAATACCGCGTTGTGATTATACCGCGGCGGGGACGCGGGAAATACGGGATCCGCGTTGCCTGTACTGTACATGTATGACTAAATGTCTTTGACCATGGGAGGGGTTCTTGCGTACTAGTATAGACGTAACAATTTAAACTAATTTAACTAGTGCAAGTAGTACAGAGGCGCACAACAGAGCAATCTCTGATAACAAGGTCTATGCATATTCACGGCCTGTTTCTGACGACGGTACTGTCTAGTAATTTAACGTGTTCCTGGCCGTGATATTTTTGTGCATACCAGTATAAAAGAATGGTTTAAGATCATTATAAACTACGTCAATGAAGAAGTATCGCGTTAGAATAAAAGTATATTTCACTAATAAATCACTTTACTGCCACTTACCCTCTCACTGTCTGTCTCTTGAATAACTGGGGCTGTATAACGGGGGTCGTGCCTTGTACTAGTGTAGAACACATTATCTTTGACAATGTTATCTTCTTTATTTCAATTACTTGCTCTGTACATACAAAAAAAATCCTCTATTAAAGTTATGTACAAACTCGCACTGTTAAAAGTAAAATTTAAACATTAATTAAGCATATACGCATCCAGTGTAATTTTGTTCACTATAGAAATTCAGAAACAAAACACTAATCAATTTTTTTCATGACAATTATATCATTTTTGCAAAAAAATTTCATATACCTTCCGTGAAGCCAGTACGGGGAAATTTGTTCTCAAACCAGAACCTGTCTCCAAACTTTAGCCTGTTAAACTGGAATCCAATGATACACCCGAAAGTCGGGCCTACTAGAGATCCGCCTACGTTCCTCTCAGACATGGCTCCTGTAAACAAATCAATGTCGTCTGGATGTCTGCAAAACAAATAAAATTTATAAAAAGGCATAAAAATTATATATTCTATGTGTTTTCACCCTTTGTTGGACAGTCAAACTCGAAAAAGACTGTAATTTAAACTCTTTCTTGGTCTTATACTGTAGAATCATTTAAGATCAGATTAAAGCAAAAATTGAAGAACCCTATTTTTTTAAAGGTAGTTTAATGACTTTTCAACCTGTAAATTGATTGCAATGTTGCTGCTGATTGCTTGTCATGGTCCACAAGACCGAGGGCCCAGGTACCAAAGTGTTCGGCCCTGGGTCTGCCACACCACTGTCTATACACGTTGTATCCTGGAAGACCGTGGTCCCTCGCGCGCTGAATATTTAGGGAGACAAGGTCTAAACTTAGTGTGGCCCCGGGACTGGTCGTTGATGTCCCCGTGGGTTGTGCGTCAAATAAATGGTTCCTGAGATCACTGGTTACAAATCGATCCCTGTCCGCTTTTCCCGTATTGGCCATCCAGGATGCCACAAACTCACAACCTCCATTTTGAGGAAAATTTATGAAGGTTGGATTGTCGAAGTTGTTTCGAAGAGGGTCTTCTCTTATAGATCTTCCGTTATCTTGACCAACAACGCTTTGGACAAAACTATGACCAAATCTGTACGCCGCAGCTGCAAAGCTGTTTATGGCACGTGGATCGACAGATAGGTCGTAGACTGTGTGATGTCCAGGTCTTGTTGATTTAAGGCCAAAAGTATTTATAATTTCAGAGGGTAAGATATCTGGAAGGTATTCATTATACGTTATGTGACCGAGTTCTGCCACGACGATTCTTTTCGTTTCCTGAAACAGAACTTCATCATCTGTTATTCCAGTGGCACGTTGCAGGGCCTCCGCAATAAGATTATGGCGACGGAGAAACATGATATGAATGATGGCCAATAACGGACTTTCTGTGTGTCTGTGGTCCCCTGGTGGATAAAAATAAAGAATGAAAGAAAACAACTGAAGCAAACGGTATGCATTTGGTTCCATAGGTGATAAAATAAGAAATGGAGCAAAAATAAAAACTTTAAAAAACCTAAGCAAAAATATGAGTACCTGGTCCTCTAAAAAACAAAGAATGGAGGGGAAAATTGAAGTAAACATAAAAAAAATGAAAATATAAACACCGTATCCATACTTTAATATTGTTTTGTTTTTTTTAACTTTTTCGAGATTATTTGTATTCCTGTATTTATGTCTAGATGATTAATGTTGTACCAGCATCAAAACAATGGTTGATTGCATTCCTTGTAAATATTGCATTGTGTCTGTTCTCGCACTGCGTTTCCTCGCCCTCTGGAAGTACGCCGGGGCGGTAGGCGTGGTATTTACTGACCCGAAGTAAACCTGAAAAACAAAGAATGATATTCCAAGAAAATATGCTACTGAGCGTACACATCTGCTCTATCAAGGTATAAATGGATGAAAGCATTCACAAAATACTCTTTTAATTGACAAAATGAAAATGAGCGATGCATAAAAATCACCCGGAATTGGGATAGCATTGCAATTCTGTTGTGACTGAAGATCACTTTATCACTTTATTAAGAACGATAAAGAAAGTTCAATGCCCTTTGAGAGAAATATTTTTAAAATTGGAACTCTTTTGTTTAAGATAATTCATTTTAAACATTAGGTATGTTTCATTTGTTCCACAATACGTTTGTTCCATGTTCATGTTTTGTTCTTTTAAGTAATACTTGTATTCAGATTATAGAATTCCCTGTGTACAAAGAAAACTTACATCACTATAATTCTTGTTCCATATCTTTTAGCTATACTTACCACCCCTTTTTTCTCGCAGAGAATTTTCTTTGGCTGTATTGAATCCATATATAGCCGAACCATCTATAAATGAAGATCTTTGATTCTGTTGTTGTCTAATCCCTAAAAAATAAAAATAAATATATATAAAGTTGTTCTTAAATAACCAGTGTTTAATTACCCCATAACAAGGACTAAAGGGTAAGCTATTGGAAATACTGACAATTGTTAATTTTCGTCACTATTACTACAAATTCAAAAGTCTCATATCAGCAACATTACTCAATTAATCATAATTATTATCCATAGAATCACTAATTAAATATAGTATTATAGTTTTATGATTTTTAGGGTCTTTATCCAGTTTTAGCATCATAACAAATTTAATAATCTCTTATAAAAATGTCTCATAAAAAATAATCAGCTGTTGATTAAAACAACTTAGTTCTATGATTTATACTTTGGTAGACAAAAAAGTACGCAAATATCCTTCACGTCCGAGGTAAGTATTATACATTTTACCTGTGTAACATCCAGGAACAGGACCAAAGTCCGAACGGACAAAGTGCATACATTTCTGAGTGGGATCAGTGAAGTAAGGGTCGTCCATAGCAATGGGAATATTAAAGCACTCTTTTCTAAAAATGAAAGACAAATATGTTTTTAAATTTGCATCATTCATTTTTATGACAAATAAATGTTCAAATTTGTTCTGTTCAAGTAGATATTTCATACTTGCCTGTTAGGATGAATGCAACAGTCCTCAATGATATTATTTTGTGAATCTACGAAGAAATATTTTTCAGTGAACAAGATTCCATTTGATATAACTTTTTGTTTTTTTAATATCAGGAAAATGGAAAGATCTAACCTGTGATGACGGGAGTGCTGGAGATGTCATGGTCAAGGAACTGTCCGAAATGTGTGAGGTAGGGGGTGAATCGGGCACTGACCTCCACCTGATTGTTATTATTGTGGACTACGTTACTGACCCTCCGGGCGCTGGGGAGGGGATGACCATCAATGCTCTTAGTTCGAGGCATTTCAATGCCTGAAAAATAACACATCAGTACGTATGAAATGAGTCTACAAATTTATTAGTAAAGAGGTGTACTTGGATTTAACTATCAAAAAAAAACCCTGAATGAAACATATGGAGATAACAAACAGTATTCAAAATCAAAGGTCCATAAAAATACAAAATAGAAGCAGAGCAAACACGGAGCTCCAAAACATCAGAGGTGGGATCAGGTGCCATGGAGGAGTGAGCTTCCCCTGCCGACCGGTCACATCCGCCGTGTGCTCCTTGTCATGTTCGGGAAATAATGGAGAAATTCGTCGTTAATTCAGTGTATAAATTATGGACTAACAATTAGCATGAAAAATGTCAATCTGCATTTGACTCAATGATAAATTGTATTTGCTGACAAAATCATTGTATCGACCATAAAACTTACGAAATGATGACTTTAAACAAGACAGCTGAACTTCTTGTTTCATCAACTTGTTTGTCAATAATTTACCTTATTTAGTAATTGTTCATACAAAGAGCATGCTCTTGCGTATCGAATCAACCGAGATATATAAACTCCGTATGCAGGTGATGAAGGTATATTGCTGCATAGGTAAGGGAAGTTGACGATAGAAAGTTAAAGTCATCACGCTTATCCTAGAGCTTGGATGTTAAATTACCATTCATGTCTTTTTCAAGTAAAATATCCAAATATGAAACAGATGTGTCAGACTCGGTGGTATCTTTTATGTCAAGCTCACTAGGATATATCGTATCGACTTTGGAATGGAAATAATCATTGACAGCATAAGATTTTGACCAAATTCTGCTTCATAGGAATACAAAAATAGGTCTGCTAATAACGGGGCGCAATTGGTATCCATGGGGATTCCAATAGATTGTTGGAAGACCTGGTCTCAAAAATCGACATAGATATTGTCAATCAGAAACTCAAGCATCTTTTTGATGTCAACTTCAGAGTACTTGTGTGTACAATCAGAATGATTGTTAACAAAATAATTTTGCAAATGATTAATGACAAGGTAAGTAAATTTACGAGTTTCATTATTATTGAAAAAGCAGCTGCCAATGATATAAAAAAAACCTGGACTTAAATTTATCGTGGGGAATGGTTGTGTATAAAGTTGAAAAGTTTTTAAGCTGATTTCTGTGAAATCTTGTGACTTCAAATTGTCCAAAATTTCTTTGGAATTTTAAGTATCCACATCTGATTTACACCACTTCTTGAAAATATTGTTGCACAGTACTCTTGAAGTTTCTCCTTCACTACTGCTAATATTTTAGTGAGGAGTAAAGAGGCTTAATGGTTGAACATTTACTGGAACCCACCATGTATCTTTGTTTGTAAGGATTCTTATGAAGTTTTGGAATCCAATAATATAAATATAAATATATATGGTAGTTCAAATAATAAGTGGGTAATTAGCACATGTAAGTAAATACTGGGCCTTGGTAGATAAAGAAAAGTGCTCTTTTGGAGGAAAATATACATCAACCCAATACCTTCTTTCTTATTACATGCTTTAAAAGTAGTTTTAAAATGGTGTTAAAACTGCCTTTCAAACAGGATTCACTTTGAGTTAAAATAGGTTGATACCATCTTCATAGCTGGAAGGAACAATCCGTCTGTACACCATAAATGCCTTGCCTAGAAGTGGATTTCTGGGATTATTACAAGCCCCACAGGTGTGTCTATAAGGATAGTCAAAATTACAGCTAGGTTCCTCAAAGCAATAAGGTTTAAACGACTTATGAAAAATATGTAACATCCGGGGACTTTGTAGAAATGGTCGAACCTCCTCTGCTGTTCTTTTTCCTGACCTAGGATAAAAATAAATACATGTGTACAGTATATGCAAGTAGCCATAATCGCAAAGCTATAATTCATTTAGACAACCAGAGTGTGTTTCATCCAAATTGATGACAAGATACAACACGGACGCATTACAGAGGAGGGAATGTTGCCAAAGAGGAGTAAACATCCCCTCTCAACCGTCCACACTCACCGTGGTATTGATCAAATGCAAGTAAATGAAATTGGTATGAAAAAGCTCAGCCACATTACTTCCAAATCTTATATTATATTTTCTAATAAATTTATTATAACATCAATTAGAATTTACGAAACGCCGCCGGCCTAAAAAGATTTTTTTAAAAACCCTGTAATGTCAATTTATCTCTCAGTAGCCTGCCTCGGTTCATTAACTGATTATATTCACTTTGATTTTTCAATATCAAATTAGTTATATAGGAGACGTAGATCACATACGAGTGTTACCGGAATTTAATTAAACAGAAAAGGAAAGTTGACAATGGAAATATTTCTTTATCACCTGCAAATATGTGTTTTAGGACGATTTTTTACGGAGCCTAGGTACTCACAATAAGGTGATGTAACAGGGTTTTAACGACTTTATTTAAAAGCAGCATTTCACTAATTTTATGGTAGTACTGTGGACTTTGTTAGCAAATACAATATTTATATCGTAGTTTTGTTGTACTAGTATTTTGAATCACGTACTAGTATATCACACCAATTGTTAGGCCATTGTTTTTTTTTAAATACATGTGTATTGTTTAATACACATTACTCCTTTTATTTGATAAAACGGTTCTTGACGGCTATGACCGGTCGACAGGGAACATTTACTTCTCCTAAACTAGGGCCTTTTTTAAAAAAAAAATGTACATAAAAATGATCATAGGCTACATTAATTGTTTTAGTTAAAGTGAGAATATGCATTTTAGGGACCTTTTTATAAAATTCATGAGAAAATCCCCTATATGTGATTCTCTCTTTAAGAAGCTTTGTACCCTGTTCAAGATTTTTTAACGTTAACAGCTTTTTTTTTTTTAAATTTGATCACTATTCATGACCTCTTTGATCATTACAAAATATACCTTGTATAGAAGTGCCCCCTTCCATGAAAAGGTTTTCATACATCAAATATTTCCCAATACATTTCTCGATTATTTATTTAAATGCCAATTCAAATTATCTTGTTTAACCCAGTACGAAACATAATGGTATCTTGATGTAGCCAACGATTTAAACCGTTACTAGTATTTATTCACAAATACCGTCAACTAATTATGTTCCCCAAACGAAGTTGGGGAACATTTGTTTTTACTCTGTTTCTTATTATTATTATTATTATTATTATTCCTGGGAAAATTTTGTCCTCGAGTGATCTTGTAAACTTCTGACTAAGGTAAAATGTTTTTAGGGTCAGTAGACATGTTTGCAAGAGCGCGCACGTGCAACACGAGAAATGCCCAATATAATTGATATAGACGTAACTTTTTCAATTTTTGATGAAATGCTTTGAAACTCATAATATAAGGATATATTAGTAGCATAAACAATACGACATGGTCAAAATAGCAAGATCTCACGCGCATGCACGTGCACTTTCTGATTGGCTGAAACTAAAGTCTCAATATCTTTCTTGTTTTTTAATGAAATTCTTTGAAATTTTGAACATAGCCATGCATAAGAATATCCTACAACATGAAATATAGCAATTATTATGGAAACACGTGCATGCACGTGCGCTGCAATCTGATTGGCTGAAACTTTAACTAGCTATAACTCCCTTGGTTTTCAACCAAACAGGATGAGATTTGGAACATAGATAGATATAATAAATTTCTACAAGAAGATATGGACACCATGCACATGCATACACGTGCATGTATGTGCGCTGCAATCTGATTGGCTGAAACTTTAAACAGCTATAACTTCCTTGGTTTTCAACCAAACGGGGTGGGATTTAGAACATAGATAGATGTAATTGACTTCTACAAGAAGGTATGATCACCATGCGTGCACGTGAAATATATAAAATCAAAAATACACTTGAAAGAGCGTATTCTTGTAAAACTGTTGGATTAAATACTTTAATATTTTGTATAAATAATATATAGATTGTGTAGACAAGATGATATGGTCATTACGCATATGCATTCACATGCGCACGCGTGCATTGCTAAAATTTGAATGAACTTGGTACACTTCTAGGTAAACGTTGTTTAAGTCTCAAGTTTGTCTTCTTTAATGAAGCTTACAGGGAATACGGCACCAAAAGGGAGTTGGGGAGCGTTTGGGGAACATCTGTAACGGTCCCCGTTACAATTAGCACTAGTTTCTATACGTGTTTTATGTGTTATGAGTGTTAAAGTAATAATAAATAACGTAGTGATAGAGTACTTTTTCAATGTTGACTTCAGAAATCACTTTTTTCCCTTAAAGTCCCTTCCATATTTTCTCATTCAATTTGGAATTCACAAGGTGATGCAGACTGAAACGTCAAACACTGAACTGGAGAGTATTAAAATGTCTTGTTTCCATGTACTCGTATTTATAAATGAATTGTTATAAAACACATATCCTGGGGTCTCCTCCTGCACGCATGCCTTTGCCAACTTCATCCCATTCGGGTTCGACTTTTACTTTATCAAGTTCAATATTGCCAACCATGAGTACCTCAACGCGAAGCGCGCGCTCGCTGGAACCGTCGTTCTTTGAAGATGTAAGCCCATAATCGGTCCATTGGAAAAAGGGGTTTTCATTCAAGTCAACCTTATGCAGATTGTCTTCACACCATGGTACACTTGGGTCATTTGAGCGGAGTAGTACTAGCCTGACATATTGCGATCTTTCATTGTAAGCATGTGCACTCTCAAAAAATAGAACCGGATCCTCTTGACTTTTTGACTTGATTTCTCTAAACACAGTCTTTTTGCGTTTTCCTTTCTTGGCTTTTGCAGTCTCTCTTTTGGAGCGTTGTTTTTCGTAGAAAGATGACTTTGCTGGAGCTGCATCATCCATATCATCATCTACTTCATCGTCATCCTCGGCCATTGACGTGTTTCCAATGTACTCCATTAAATACGACACAGGTATTTTGATTCTTTGGGTACCGTAAGGTGACTTTCTTGGAAGATCACAATCCTTCAAAGCCAGCGCAAACCAGTTTCCCTTGAGATCTTTGTTAGATGCTAAAGGCGCCCGCGCCGGGGACTCGGTGTATCCTCCATACAATTTTCTAGATTCCAGAATTCTCTCCTTCCCCGTCAATGAGGTGCAGTGTAAGAAATGGGAGACTTGTTCCTCGTCACTAAAATTTTGATCAACAGCCTCCATAAGCAGGTCCCAAAGCCTGCTTAGTTCTTCTTTCGATGTGCATGGTGCACTAAAGCCCCCGACAGATCTCGCCATGTTTACGAAATTTAAAACTATAATTGTAGTCAGTAAAATACAGGGTGTTTCATAATATATGTTACATTTTGAGATCTAATTATTTTTCTTACCTATCATACTTCTATTACAAACTTTATATCAGTTTAAACATTGAATCCTGCATTTTTGTTCCATGTGAAAAAGTCAAGGAAATCATGGTCCTGAAATGATTAAATGTGCTATAAATGTTGATGTCATAATTTGGATATTTCTCGAGATGGACTTGACTAATCCACTCAGTGCTGAATTGTAAGAATTGTAAAGCTGTTTTTATTTTCAGATTATGTCGCTAATATTCATTCTATTTATTTACTAGTTCATGAAATAAATTTTCCAAAACAAAATAGAAGCTTTCTAGGATGCTTATCAGAAGGGTAGTAACAAGGTTAAAGGACAGGGACGGACAGTATGCGATAAATGACACAGTATTTCAGAAAGCCAGAAGTCATTAAGAAGCGGAGATGTTATTGGTGAAGTCGAGACTCTTAGTGTAGCAAACTTCTGAGAAAAGTGTCTGATAGATATTTTTCAGAAATTTTATTCTGGCAATATCAGCATTTTCAGCATATAATGAACTTTAAAATATGATTTGAAGTAATCAGTATATAAATTATCAATAATTAATGCAAGGAAAGAGTTTGACCTCTTCATTTGACAATCTCAATTTTTGGGCTCTTTTCTGAGGGGTTCTTAAGGAAAGGGTCTTCAATCCTAGACCACAGATATTGAATGAGCTTAGAAAGAAATGAACCTTCAAATGAGGAGTGTCTAAGCAAAAATCTGACAAGATTTTATACAAATTTCAAGAAACAACATCATTTGTTGTTGAATAAATGGAGATCATTTATGATATGTAATGTGAACTTTTGACGTTGTGAAATTCAACGTAGCAAAAATGGCGCAACTTGGAAATTTTGCTAATTTTCATTAATGTTTAAGATTATGTTCAGTGTTTAATATTTTAGTTGGTAATTGTACATTATGAATCTTATGGATATGTGCATCAATTTGATAAAAAGACTTATCTGTATATTTTTCTTTTGTCTGTCAAATTGGAGATTCAAAATGTAACCTATATTATGAAACACCCTGTACCTACATTTACAAGTGGCGACCTGGATTAGATGACTGACGGATTTTCTGAAAACGCTTAAAGTAATATACGCTACAAGTAGAGCTTTTCAAAAAAGCTAACCGTCTTTAGTAACAATTTTAAACAGTAAACAGATTTACACTTAACAGGCCGTATAATTCTTTTGAATTTCTTGATTTTGTATTTCTAAATTAGCTTTTTAATTAGCCCTACCATGAGACTGGCCGATGTAGACACACTTTATTCATTTAATTTTTTGCGAGTATATGATACGAGGTCATTTATGAAGAAAATAGATGGCACACATTTCCTCAGAGAGGAAGTGCCTTAACTATACAATACCTTTCACCAGTGAAAGTCCACATTTTTACACCATTTAAATAAAATTCGTTATAAAGTTATCAAATTATAATTATTTATTATCCTGCAGTCTCCAAAGACTTCAAAGATTATTTATCAATTGAAAGAATAGCATTTTAACGTAGATATTGCAATGATTTTTTTGCAACCTTCATTTTTCTAGTTCTGGGCAAAAACGTAAAGGAAATGAATCCGTACAAATGCCGAATAATTTAAATTTAAAAAATCGAATTCAAAAACCAATGGAGTTCATGGAAGTGCACCGTTCGTACCGAAACGAATGTCAACAATTCAGTAACTTGTTATACCTTTTAACAAAGGAACCTTACTGTTAAAAAATTTACCTATACTAGTATCTTTAATTTTAAAAACACGAAAATGCATGGGATATTTATTGGTATACTTCAATTATCTCCTCTCTAACTATTCCTTAGTTTTAACTGTTGTTTTACCATTGAACAGACTTTCTCACTACCGTTTATGTACATTTATGCATATTGAACTCTACTTTATACGACTCGCGTCATTAATAGTTTATGTCGATCGTTTTGGCGACATTGTCACAACTACCACATTGTTCTTCATTTAATAGAACGCCCCACGTTTTTTGAAATATATGAAAATAACGAACTGTATTCAAATTCACACGTCCATTAAAACAATACAAATCAGGAGCAGGGCAAACGCGGAAATCTTACATATCAGAGTTGGGATCAGGTGCCATGGAGGAATGACCATCCCCTGCCGACCGGTCACACCCGCCGTGTGCTCCCTGTCATGATCGGGAAATAACGGAAAAATTCTCTGGAAATTCGATATGTAAATAATGGCCTAACAATAAGAATGAAAAAAAATCAATCAGCATTTTACTATATGATAGATTGTATTTGCTGATAAGGTAATTTTATCGACCATAGACCTTACAAAATAATTTTTTTAAACGAGACTGTTGATATTTTTGTTTCACTAACTTGTTTGTCAATAAGCTACCGTACCTCGTTTTAGAAATTGTCCATAAGTAGAGCATGCCTTGCGTATCGAATCAACTGAGAAATATAAATCCCGAGTGTAGGTGATAAGGGTATATTGCCGCATAATTAAGGGAAGTTTACGTTTGAAAAGTTTGTGATCACGTTTATCTTAAAACTTTGCTATTAGACGACCATTAACGTTTTTTCCAGTAAAATATCCATCTTTGTGGTATATTGTATTTCAAGCTCACCGGAATATACCATTCAGTGATAGTTTTATGATAAAATTACATTAAGGAAAGTTCGCAATCAATCGTTTCTATACTTTTCAATTGGCTTGTGAGTATAAGAAGGAAAGCTGGGCAGGGGGTAGGGATACGTTCCATAATAAGAATAAAACTTTTTTTTATTCAAACATACATGACAGCCACTGTTCTGGCTACGGAGGCGGCAACACGTGCTCTGTTGTCCATCGTCTTACTCATGGCGAAGTCATTGATCCGGAGGTATCGGTAATGGTGCTGTACCGCGGAGTGAAAACTTCCCCGGTAATTACCACGTGCGTTTGTGTGTTCCGTTAGGGATGGAAACTCTGAAAGGAGTTTTGAAGATTTATTTGAAACATGTCCCATCTTTGAAAATCGAGAAAGTCGCCTTCAAATTTAGTCATAATTAAAATCTCACTCTCTTTTTGACTTATCAATGGGATGTCAAATACCAGTCACAAGAGTGTAACTGTCATATGACTAAAATTTTCATTTCTACTATAGAACTTTCCATACTAAATATCAAATTTGATAGAAAATAAATCAAGTTAGTTTTTGCGCTTTATTCAGGCGAAAACTAAAAGATATATTTAATAAACTAACCTACTGGGATGTTGCTGGATATGTTGCCTCTATTCATCATCCTGTCTACAAGATCAGAAACCACAGCCCCGAGCTTCCAGTCAAAGGACTCCACAAAGGGTAAGAACACAACCAGAACAAACACGGATTTTAATGGCATTTTCTGGTTAAAACAAAGTTAATAAGATTTAATAATTGTAGAATGCCAAGCAACAGTCAGCATCAGAAATAGAATGGAACTCGTAATTTTTTTATTGACAGTTTCTTTTTAAAAGTGTTTGGAGACCAGTTCTTTTTACACGTTGTTGGAAATTCTATGTGGATGAAATAGATGACAACGAACATCAATGTAACGTCAACTGTGAATAATGTGAAATCACAAATTTTCGTGGGGGTTAATTTTCGTTGTTTTAGAGGTATGAAGAGACCCACGAATTCATGTCCACCACGAAATGTAAAATGTTACATACATAACTACTCAACAATTCTTTATCCACGAATTCAAATCCACACGACCCAAGAGTTTTTACTAAAATCACAAAATTTTGAACCCTCGAAAATGTGATATTACAGTAGCTGCCTCACTTTAAAAAAAATCAATGTACTTAGAGCATTGATTTGGGAGGCATAAAGACGATATACACATGGGTGATAGCGGAATATTACTGTATAAATAAGGAAAGTTGACGATGGAAAAAGCCTAACTTTGTCATACAGCTGTGTTGTTAGTTTACCCTTTTTGTCAGTAAAATATCCAATAGAAATATGAAAAACATGTTGGAGACTCTATGATGTCTTATTTCAAGTTCACAAGGAATAATATCGAGGTATGAATGGAAATAACAATTGTTAATTGATACATCGTCGTCAATATAGAATGTCGAGTTAAAGATTTTTATTGTTTGAAAAAAAATCTAATTCATATGAATATAAAAACAGATTGGCTTATAAAGGAGGACGACCTATTGGAATTTTAGTTGTCACCTTATTTTCACCACAAGTGTTTGATAAAATTGTATTTTTGATTACTATCATGATGTACCTTAATTTTTGGATATCCAAATTCAGGTTTATATAATTATTATATAGACTGTAGAGAAACATACATTAGGATCTTCCAATTTTCATGTTGTTACCTTAGTGTCATCAATAAATTACATATCTACATGTACATCCATTCTTAGTTTTGTATTCTGGCTGAAAAAAAAACGAAACTGTAGGAAACAATATGATTAAAAATTTTCACTCTGAGCATATGGAAGGCATATAAACAGACTGAAAAAGGAGCACAATGAGTGTCCAACAGTTTTTGAAAGACCTGTTCTTTGAAGACTACAAAATTGTTGTCAACGAGGAACTCCAGAATACCTTAAATATCAACTTCGGAGTACTTGTATTTAGAATCAGAATGAATTAAACGAAGTAATTTTGTTGATGATCAATCACAAGATGTGAAGATGCCCGAGTTCCATTTTATTGAAGAGGAAATTGTATATAATATTCTTAAAAAAAAAAATAAATAAAAAAAACCCCCTCATTTTTAAGCGCTAAGCGCAAGCGCAAAGCGCTTCTTAGGTAGGCATCGAAAATTTCCATGGTCTTTTTATCAGCGCCCCCTATTGATCATGTTTATCTTTTATCAACGCCCGCTACCGAGCCTATGTTTTTTAACATGTTTGATAACAGAAAATATATAGGTCATTCTTCGATTGATAATTCTTT